CTGCCAGGACGTGAGAATGGCTTTTCCTGGTGACTCCCTACTCCAGTCGTCAGTCAGCTGCCTTTCTGAAGCAAGACTACTTAAATGACTGATAGCTGATCATATTTTTTACACTTAAAAGTTTTGCAAATGAGTTTCCTTGGAGAGTCAGTGGGAAATATAGAAGTGAAAATAGGAAAAAAAAAAAAACCCTTTAAGTAAGCCTGTTAGGATCTGTTAGTATACAGGGGATGGTTTCTATTCTTTTGTGTTTATTTAAGCAGGCTTTATGGGCTAATATGTGGTCTGTTTTGGAAAAGATCCATCTGCTGCTGAGAGAAATGTGTGTTCTGTTGTAGCAGGGTAGAGCACTGTAGATAGCTATTAAGTGCATTTGTTTGAAGCTGTGAATCAGTTCTCAGATTTCTTTGTTAATGTTTTGTGTAGTTGGTCTTTTGTGAAAGTGTGTTGAGACTAAAAAACCAAAGAATCAAAGAGCTGGTTCATTGAAAATGATAAATAAAATAGACAAACTTATGAAAAGGAAGAAAGAAAAGATGCATATCAATGAAATTAGAAATGAGAAAAGCAAAATCATAGCAGACACCACCCAAATTCAGAAGATCATTAATAAATATTGTGAAAAATTATAGTTCAGCAAATTGGAGTCTCTTGAAGACGTGGATGGATTCCTGGATGCATGAATTACTAAAATTGAACCAAAAGACATAAAATGTTGAATAAATTAGCATTACTAATAAATTAATAATAGACAATGAAACTGAAACAGTAATAAAATACTTACAAGTTAAGGAAAGCCAGGGACCTGATAATGTCACCACTAAACCCTACAAGAATTTCAGGAAGATGTAATACCAATATTCTCAAACACTTTAATCAAGTGGGAAGGGTTCCAGTACTTCCAAACATATCAGTGCCCTGATTCCAAAACCACACAAGGATCCAAATAATAAAGCTACGACCAGTCTCTTTTATGAACATACATGCAAAAATTCTCAACAGGATACTGACAAACACAATGCAGGGTATCATCAAAAAATCACACATCATCACCAAGTAGGCTTCATCTCAGAAATAAAAGGGGATTCAATATATGCAAATCAGTAAATGTAATATATCACATGGTCATCTCAGTACACACAGAAAAAGCCTTTGACAACATCCAATATCCATTTATGATAAAAAGTCTGAAGAACATAGTATAGAAGCACTTTATTTCAACCTGATAAAAGCTTTTTATGATAAACCACTGTCACCATCATATTAAATGGCGAAAGACTGAAAGCTTTACTTCTAAAATCATGAACAAGATAAGAATGTTCACTATCAGCACTAGTATTCAGTATAGCACTCAAAATTTTAGAGCACTCAGATAAGAGAAAGAAATAAAAAGAATACAGGTCGGAAAGGAATAAATCAAGTTATCTTTGTTCACAGATAATACAATCCTCTACATAAAAGACCCAGAAAATTCCACCAAGACTCCTAGAACTAATAAACAAATTGAACAATATAGCGGGATACAAAATCAATACACAAGAATCAGTAGTGTTGTTATATACTTTATATATTAATAATGAAATCACAGAGAAATTATGAAGACACTGTCACTCATAATAGCACCAAGGAAAATTAAATACTTAGGAATTAACATAACCAAGGCAATGAAAGCTACTGCAGTCTGACAAAAGAAATCAAGGAGGACGATCGGAAAAGGAAAGCTATCCCATGTTCCTGGATAGGCAGAATGAATACTGTCAGAATGGTCACATTGCTAAAACACATAGGTTTAATTTGAATCAAAATACCAACAGTTTTCCTCATTGAACTGGAGGAAAACTATCTAAGGTTTACATAGAACTAGAAGAGACCAGGATAGCAAAAGCAATCTTGGGCAGCAAAAACAAAGCAGGAAAGATCCCAGATTTCAACTTACAATACAAAGCTACAGCCAAAAAAAAAGGGTGGCTCTGGCATAAAACCAGACAGCTAGATCAATGCAACAGAACAGAAGATGAATAACCCCAGGCACATTCAGCCATTTGATCTTTAACAAAGGGACCAAAAACAAACATAGAGAAGACAGCCTTGTAAATAACTGTTGCTGGGGAATTAGTCATACACATGCACAAGATTGATTGACTCTAGACTTACGCCTATCACCATGCACCAAAATAAAATCAAAATCAAAAGAAATATTAAAATCGAAACAATTTACTGGAAGATCAAATAGGTAAAATGCTTGAAGTCATAGGTATTAGGGACCATGTAGTGAGTCCCCAGTATCCTGCAAGGCATTGTGGTGCACGATGAAAAGAAAGACCAACAGACAAAATGGCAATGTAAGAGGGTACTGGAGTGGCCCATTGTTCTCGGGGAACAGCAGGCCATGAGGCAGCCAGGACCTGGGTATTATGGTTACATCTGTGTCAGGGACAGTGGGTGAAGGGTGCGGTGAGGGCCCCGCGGACCCGCAGTGGTGATTACAGTGGGCCAATAAGAACAAAGCATTCTTGCAAGGATGAGACAGAGAGCCATAAGGACACTGTAGTTTCCTCAGGAGAAACCATTTACTGTTTCTACTATCTTGCACTAAAGAGTCTTATCATCGTGGGCATCCTTACCTTGCCCTGTGTGCCCCACAGTATCACAGCCATGTGGCTTCAGCTGTGACCACAGGAGAGCAGGGAGTTCTGCATTCCAGTCTGGCTCAAACGGCAGGACAAGCACAGCCTCCGACATCCCCTCAACTTGGTTTACAATCTGTGATCCCCCACAACAGGTACCAGCAAGGACTTTCCAAACGGAGCTGCAATTCCACAAGAAATAGCATCAAGAATCAACCGATGAGATTGCATCAAATTATAAAACTGCACGCAAAAGAAACAGTCAGTGGGTGATGAGACAGCCTGCCGAATGGGAAAAAATAATTTTGCCAGCTACTTCTCTGACAGAGGTCTAATACTTAGAATCTACAAAGAACTCAAATAGCAAATTCCCCCAAATAAAAGAGCCATCAAAAACTGGGCAGCTGAAATGAATAGGCACTTAAAAGAAGCACCAGTGGTCAGTAAGTACATGAATAAATGCTCGACGACTCTGGCCACCAAGGAAATACAAATTAAAACAACACTGAGATTCCATTTTACTCCAGAAAGAATAGCTATCATCAAAAAATCCAACAGTAACAAATGCTGGTGAGGCTGTGGGGGAAAGTAGGCCCTTCGACATTGTTGATTAGAGTGTAAACTCATACAACCACCGTGGAAATCAGCATGGGCAGTCCTCAGAAAACTAAAGCTAGCAATTCCATTCAACCCAGCTAGTCCCTTTCTTGGTGTCTTTCCAGGTGGATTGAAGACATCCTGACATAGTGATACATATACACGCACATTTATGGCAGCACTAATAATATCTAATGCTTAGAAATGGCCTATATACCCATTAACAGATGAGTGGGTAAAGAAAATGTTATGTATATACAGTGGAGTACTACTATGACATAATGAAGGATAAATTTGAGTCATTTGTGGGAAATGATATACCTTGAAACCATGTTAAGTGAAATAAATCCAATACCGGTTTAAATATTGCATAACTAGGTAGATAACTATAATATCAACCTCTGTTAATTCATCAGAAAGAACCGTTTGTGCTGTCATTCTTTGTTTGTGCCTAGATCTTGTAATCTGAACAATCACCTCTAAGTTAACAAAATGCAATGTACCAACTACTGTTAAATAAAATAAATATTGCATAACTTTTTATATGCAAAGGCTGATGTATAAATAAATAATTTCTAAAAATACAAAATAAAAGATAGGATACAGGAAACAGGGAGATAGATCCTTACCTAGGTGGAAATGGTATCTAAAGACAAAGGGAATAGGGATAGAAAGGAACAGAAGGGGAAAATCAGAAATTTAGCTTTGAAGGAATGAGACATGATTGAGAACATTTAAAGCATATAAATACATCTAGGCAGGAGCTGGGCAAATGGAAGAGGTTGAAAATATTGTCAAGATGAGCTACTTAATTGACACTGTAGTGTTCTCGATCCTGTGAGACACAGTGGTGGGATCCTGAGCACACTATGAACAATTTACCTCATCAGAGAGGAGAAACACTCCTCCTCGTGGTAGGAGGCACAAAACTGCTTGTAGGCAGTTTTGTAGATTGATGGTAGGAAGCGGAAAGGTTCCTTTCTGATGCCATTCCTTTCCTGTCTGAACGAATAGATTCTCAGCATCTCTGGTCATCAGGGAAATGCAAATCAGATTGCAGACAAAAGTCTTTGGGAGAATAATAGATGCCTAGGGTGCCACAGATTGTGGGCATTACTAGATGTCCCATTGAGTTGACACCAGTTCCCCAAGGCATCCAGCTATCCTGTCTGTCTTTCTGTCAGTACCCAGTATTCCAGATAGAGGCTGAGAGAGATGCATGGGAAGATTCACCTGGAGGTACAATAAGGTGAACATACTCATCTGTTAGTTGGAGTGGAGAGGTGATGAGTGTTGGGCAGGGTGGCCCCCAAGTGGCACAGCGTGTCCTCCAACCTGGGTAGGCAGCACAGAGAAAGGGGGCCGTTGCTTTGCGATTCAGAGCTGCCTGGATTTAAGGTACATGCTAGCCTCCAGCACGGGATCATAGGCTCTTACAAAGTGATCTTTTGAATTCATTTTTGTCAATAGCATTTAGCATAAATATCTAACTCATAATAAGCTCTGTATAAATTCTAGCTGAATCGAATAATGACTTAAACTCTTTCCTCGAAGCCCAGAGTTAAAATCTTTCATTAACTTTTTCCAGACAAAACAAATTCTCTGTTTAATTGTCTCCTGTGGGTTCTAATTGCCCTGTTTTGCTTCACTTTCAACTGGCCTGTTTTCTTCCTCTGAGATCTTCCCTGTTAATTTTCTACAGCTTCTTTTCTAATGAATGGAATCTTCCTTTTGGAAGGCCTTGTTTGATTGATTGCTGTCTGATTTCTCGTCTAGCCACTTTAATTCAGGAGATGAATTCTGATGACCCAGTTATACAACAGAGAGCCGTGCAGCAGACAGAAGAGAGACTGATGCTGATGGAAGAAGCCGGAGAGGAGGACGGGTGCAGGACAGCCTTGAACAAGACCACGATCAGCCCGCCACAAGCCGCTGCGCAGGTTTCCTGCCTGTTATGGAGTAGTATAAGTAGCGACATCACAAAGACTAACTTTGAGGGAACAACTTAATCTCAAATGCCTAGTAAAGCTGAAATAGTCATTCGTTTCTCAAATTCACTGGATTTATTTTCCATAATGAAGTATGAACTCTGATCCCCCCATCCCGTTGGTCTTTCTGGATCAACTGTAAACAGCCCCACGGGTTTGTTTAAATGAGTGTTCAGTCTCTCGTCCTCCTAAGCTTGTGTGCAATATCTAAACTATGTTGTTAAGGGAACATATTCCCTTAGTTCCTGTTTGCAGCATACACGGTTACAGCTGGGGTCCCTCAGCCGTGCTGTGCCCACAATCAGCTTTCCTGATACAAAGCCAGGCCTCTGAATTTTGGACCATTCAGTGTTGCTGTGTAGAAGAAATGACCAAAATTCTCATTTCTAATTGATTTGTTTTCTTAGTTTATGTATTGTTCATCAGAGAATGGTTTTTGAAGTTTCTCTTCTTTGTTTTTTATGATTCCCTACGTCTTGCAGAATACAAATGAAATAAACCCAGGTAAGGAAAGCATCTCTCTTTCCAGTGCATATTCTTTCCCTAGGACCAGATTTTATTGATTTCAACTTCCAGACCTGTAAATTAGGGCCTCAAGGTTAGCAAATAATTCATGAACAAAATCCCACTGATCACCTTTGCTAGTACTAGGTGGAGGGGACTGGACTGCTTTCAGAGGCCTTATTCACCTTGGTTCATGAATGTTTTTGTTTGCAAACAATTTGGTGTGTAAACAGAAACGTTTGACAAAATTTCATTTTAGTTTGTGAATTCTGCATCTGTTGACAAACATGACCATGACCATCTTTCTCACAAGAACATGAACCTGGCTGTCTTTTCCAGAATCCTGGAACAAATTTGAGTTCACAAACTGAGGCACCACTGTACTCTCTCCTGACCAATCTTCTGTAAACTGAATGCTGTTATTCTGTATCATCCAATTTACTCTTAGCTACTCAGAGGATCTAGATATTTTCTCTGTCGCTCAGCTTCGAGACTCATTATGCTAAATGGAACAAAAAAAGTCTCTCTTCAAAGGAAACCTCTTTTAAAAGACATAATTCAAATTTGAAGCATAATCATAGCCATCATGTATAATAATACATCGCACAGATTCTATTTAATGTCAAATTAAGCAAATGTCATCGTAGTTGCCTCAGATGTGTGTATGTGTGCATGTGCCCGTGCGCCTCCATGTATATGCATGAGAAGTGTGGCTGTAAAGCTCCGAAGTACTTTTCTTCTGCATTTGAGCTAAAGAACTGATTCTGCTGTTTGGATTTTTCTTCCTAATATTTGATATTACCCTGCTGTCAGAGGCCTTCTTGGCATCTCTGGAGAAGGATGCAAAGGAGCGGGCCAAGAGAAGACGGGAAAACAAAGTCTTAGCAGATGGTAATTTCCTGTCCTTACCTTTCAATGGCTGAAATGCTTCAGAGTGGGAGAGCACGTGAGAGCCTGCATGTTAATGTTTGAGGACGCCAGGTGCTTGTCTTACGATGGGCCTGTGGCAGTGGAACCTGGCCAGGCACATATCATCAGTGGTTTGTTTTTCTGCTGCTCTTGGAATGAGCAGTCAGCCTGCTTCTAAAGCATATGGGTGAGCTTAATGGATTACCAGATTCTTACCCGTTACATGGCAAGTATGGGGAGGTGGAACTGAGGTTCCACTGGCCAGCCTCAGATATCGACTAAGAAGTCAGAAAAACGAAAGAGGAAAAACCAAGATGTGGGAAAAGGGAAAGAAACAAAAAAGAAAGGCACATTCTGTATGTGTTGGCAGTGAGACACACGTGTCAAAAGAATACTCTCAGTATTACATTACCCAGTAGTATATATGCTGTAAATATGTGTATTACTTTTCTCTCCTTGCTGGGACAAAATACTTGACACCCAAAATTAGGGAAAGAAGGGTTTATTTAGCTCACAGTCTGCAGAGGTTTCACTCCATAATCAGCTGGCTCAAAGCCATGGTGGCATGGCAGAGGGGCAACAGTTTATGATGGCAGCAGTTACCAAAAGCCACAGAGCAAAAGGGGCTGAAGGGAGGAGGCAAGCCTCTTTCTCTGCCTTATATTGTAAGCAGGATACTCAGGGTGAGTGCAGCATTCAAACCACCCATCCCAGCACTAGGCAATGAACCAATCACAAACTCTAGGTTCCAGTGTCTTCAACTGCCCCCCTCCCATTACCGCACTAGTCTTGGGGGACATCTAGACACTAACTATAACAATATAAATGATTCTATCCCTGCTTATTAGAAAATTTTATGACCTTCCTTTCTGTTTTGTTTTTTCTAGATAAATATCATCTATTAGCCATTATGTGTCAATGAAACTCTTCCTAAAATACTCTCAAGAAACGAGTATATTAACACTATAGAATGACAATTACATATAATTTTTATATTATTAACTCATGCATAAATAAATATTCAAGCATAATCATTGCATAATGGGGTTCTACTCTGATTTTTCAATGTGTTCTAAATAAGGCTGAGAAACTCATAAGCCTTGTTATTACCTCTCATCATGTAGGTCCCCTGGTATGGTCCTCTGTAGACCTTGTCAGTATCTGATAGAATGCCTACTTATCAAAGTTTGAGTACTAAAGTTAGCACTCTCAATCTCATTGATAAAGTTGGAGAAGCTTCTCAATTAATGTAAGATTATTTTCTCTGTTCTTGTTGATAGCTGCACAGATTTGTGCACCTTTGGATCTAAAGAATTTCTGTCTCTTATGGAAGTGTAGCCTCAGTGTCTGTGACAAGCTTGGAAGGATTCTGAACCCCAGCGTACTGTTACTTTCTCTGAAAAGCTACTGAGAATGTTCAGAGTGGACTTGGGGGAAAAAAAAACCCAAAGAAACCAGTCCTAAAATATCTACAGAGACATGAGCGACAAATCTCTGTGTGTCAGTGGCAGCTGACCTTCAGAGGGCTTGAGAGTAGAGTTGGAAAATTGAGGGGCTGCAGTCTGGAAGCCTTTTTTGCTCTGTGGTAAGAACTCACCTGTGTGACTTTTATCTCATAGCCCTAAAAGAAAAGGGGAACAAAGCCTTTGCCAAAGGTGACTATGCAGCAGCCATCCTGAGCTACAGCGAGGGCTTGGACAAGATGAAGGATATGAAAGTTCTGTACACCAACCGAGCCCAGGTCAGTGAGCCACAGGCGTCCATGGGGTTCTCTTGGGAAACATTTGCCACTAACCTTGTAAAAATGAAAACAAAATGAGCCTAGCGGTGGGCTAGTACACATTTTCCTATGGGCTCATTTTGGGTGTCGGGGGAACTGATTTGTGTATAGCATATACCCATTTTCATGGTGTTAAAAACTCCCACCGTATTCTGACTCCAAGCTTCCAAAGGGAAATCACTGGAGGAGGATGTGGGAAGCACTGCAGGTAGCTCTCTTCATGACCTAAGTCAGCTGCTGTGCATCCCTGGTGGTAACCAGGTACTTTTCCATGTCTGTAAAGGAGAAAGCGTGGAGTGAAATGACCCATGAGCCTTTGGAATTCAGCCATCACTCAGCTTTTCCAGCTTCCTTTCTTGGTGATGGTCTGCACTCATAAAGGCTGCTGTTGCTATTAGTCACTTTGCTGTTGCTAGGACAGAACACCTGACATGCACAACATACAGGACAAATGTTTATTTTAGCTTACAGTTTCAGGGGTTCAGTCCATGGCAGCTGCTCCATGGCAGAAAGGTGTGGTGAAAGAAAGCTTTTCATCTCATGGCAGCTGGGAAGTAGAGAGAGGAAAAGAGCCAGAGAGAGAAGAAGGGGCTAGGAACATACCTTTCCAGAGTATGTGCCCAGTGGCCGATTTCTTCCAACCAGCCCCTACCTCTTAACAGCCCATTCAGTTTTAAATTCATCAGTGGATTAACCCACTGATGAGCTTAGAGCCTCGATGATGATCTAATCACTTTCTGAAAGATCTACTTCTCAACATACAAGCTCTTCAGGAGCTTCTTTTCTTAATCAAAACTGTGACACTCTCCTTACAGTGTCTTCTTCATTTTATCCCTCTGTCTGATTAAGAGTCTGTGACTGGAGTTAAGTGGGTCGCTGATGAACCAATTTCTCAAAATGTTAAGTTTCTAAAAGCCCTTTCTGCATAGTTTTATATTACATGGGGTTCCAGTTTCCCATAATGCCAAGCAAAACCCATTACCCAGATGTTTATTAGCTGCTACTTACTGAGGGAACACGGCTGATGGTTTTTGATTGAAACAAGAATGTCAACTATGACCTTGTCTGTGAAAAGTAGTGGAGTTTTCGTATGTGTAGATATCTGTTGCTCAGGCGGGTTTACAGATATGATTATCTGATGGTGAGGACCCGTCAGCAGGACCTGTGTGAGGTGAACTTCACGTGTATCGTTTACCAGAGGGAGAGGCTGCTGCAGAGACCCGGTCAGCTCCGATCTCGGTAACTCGAGGCTAAATGTCGGGCTACCTTTGCTCAAGGAGAGCGTCACAAGCAAGGGACACCGCCTGAAGAGGCTGGAGAGTCCCGGAAGTGACAGTGATTTAATCACAAATACAGTCAAGCACAGCGTGACCTCCTTAGTGGACACTTTGAATGCATCCAGCTAGAGCTGAGGTTTCACTCGTCTACCCCCCATTTGCCAGAAAAATTTTCCTAAAGAAAGTAAATTAGTAAGATGGCGAGAGGTCAGTTTAGCATTATACATTTTATTGCCCTAACAAGATTGATAAATTAAACTATTCAAGGGCAAAAAACTATCATTTACTTTCCCTCTAATGCTCAGTGTGTAGGAGATGTTCAATAAATCCTTGCTGTGTTACATAACACTGGAGATATAATAAGTTCACTTAAGGAACTGAATTTCTGCTGACAATTCAGAAGAACCATTTAGATGTAAGCAATTACTATAATATTATATTTCCTTACTTATCTCCAAATTTGGTCTACAATTTGGTGTCTAAAACAATTGCTCTACCTACCATTGCGTGTTCAGTCTAGTTACTTTGAAGTGATTCAAAAGCAATAAAATAAAATTGCTTTTAGAATGTTATGTAATTCAGACTTCTGTCTAGCTCAGATCGCCCATATTCTGATTCATCTAAATTAGTTATGTTTTTCCAGTACTCAATTTTAAGCAGCTCTTTGATTAGCTCTGAAAAATCACATTAAGAATCAATGTGGATAAATATAAGTAAATGTAATATAAAGCTTTGGGGAAGCAATTTCCCCCAGCTTTCCCAGAGAGAAAGCTTATTCTGAGACAAATAAATGCAAAATGTGCTGCCTGGTGTTTCAAATCATTTGAACCATTGCCTATTTTTAAAATGCCTCCCCTGTTCGCATGCAGTGATAGAAAACACTTAATAAGGACCCTGTGAATTGAGTGCTGCTTGCTGAAGAAAAAAATCTATCCTTTCATCACTTTGTTTTTCCCCTGGAGCTAATGTTATGATCAATAGATTGCCAGTGTAATTTAGATAAGTCTAGAGTTTAATTGCCGTTTTGAAAAGATAGCTCTTCTGAAAACACAGAAAAGCAAAAAAGAATGGAGAAGTTACAGGGTGTTACATGCAACCCGTGGGCAGGGAGCTGACACAGAAGGGGGGAAGGCAGGGCAGAGCAGCTGTGAAGCCCTTGCATGTATTTACGGGGTCTGTGCGTACCCTGAATCACAGTGCCTCAGAATCCCAGCCACAGCTGTCAGGAATGATGCTGACTTCTTCCTCACATCCTCTGACTTTCAGATGCAACCCAGGACCCCAGAGGAAGGGATGGTGCTTCACAAAACACACATCTCAAAGAATAGTGCGGAGCCCGGGTTAGTGAACACACCACCTCTCAGCTCGCTCCCTTCCTAGCCGCACAGAGCCGCGCAGCAGAAACTCATTAGCTGCCCTCCCGTGCTCCCTCCTCATTTCGGTTGAGTTACAACACTGACCCCTAATTGGCTTGTTCACATGGATTTCTCATCTTATCGTTACGAATGTCGAGGGCCTCAGTACACTTCTGATCATGCACAAGCCTATGTGTGGTTGGTTCTGTTACGGTAGCTGGTGGAACCCTGGAGAAGCCACTCAGCCTCCTGGTACTCGATTTTCCTTTCTTACATGGAGTGATCATTGCTGCTTCTTAGGAAACTTTCTGAAAGAAGAGGGCTTAGAGTCTCGGTAAGAATTTATAGGCCCCTTATTGTGGCCAGTAATTAATCAGGAGGTTATAGTAGGTAAGGTGCTTATCTTCAAACAGCCTTTCATCTTTTTATGTGTGTGCTGGGAGCTTTAGCTAAACTAAGTGCTCAAATCCAGTTAGTTTATTTGGACTCCTGGTATTGTTTAGATCTAATATGTCTCCCAAAATTGTCATGCATTTAGAGTTGGAACAGCGGGTTAATTCATTGATGAGGTGATAGCTGATGCTGTCAGGAGATGAGGCCTGGTTAAAAGAAGTGGGGGGCATGACCACAAACATGTGTTCTTGTCCCTGAATCCCTGAGTCCTTCCATTTCTCTCTCTCTTTCTCTCTTTCTCTCTTTGTCTCTCTCTTTCTCTCTCTGTCTCTCTGTCTCTGTCTCTGTCTCTCTTTCTCTGTCTCTCTCTGTCTCTCTCTCTCTCCCTTTCTCTCCCTGTTTCTCTCTCTCTCTGTCTCTCTTGTCTCTCTGTGTCTCTGCCTCTCTGTCTCTCTCTTTCTCTCTCTCTCTTTCTGTCTCTCTCTTTCTCTTTCTCTGTCTCTCTGTCTCTGCCTCTCTGTCTGTCTGTCTCTCTCTCTGTCTTTCTCTCTCTCTGTCCCTCTCTCTGTCTCTCTCTCCCTCTCTTTCTCTCTCTCGCTCTTTCTCTCTCTGTCTCTTTCTCTGTCTGTCTCTCTCTCTTTCTCTCTTTCTGTCTCTCTCTATCTCTCTGTCTCTCTGTCTCTGCCTCTCTGTCTGTCTGTCTGCCTCACTCTCTCTCTCTCTGTTTCTCTCTGTCTCTCTCTCTCCATCTCTCTCTCCTTTCTGGTCATCACGGGGTGAGCAAATTTCCTTTGTCGTGTCTTTGCTATTCCTGCCTTAGCATTAGCCAGCCATGTACTGAGCCCTCCAAAACTGTGAACCAAAATAAGTTTTCCCCTCTTTCAGTTGCAGATGTCAGATATTTTGTCCCAGTGATGAGAAGGTGACTAATAGCCCCCAAATTCCAATCCAATGTTCGATTTCCAAGAGTTTCTCCAATTCTAGAGGGTTCCAAAAAGCGTTCCCAGACTTCGGTATTAAGGGCTCATGGTGATGGCCTCTTGAGTGTTAGTCTAGTTCTGTATTTCTTCCTCTCCTGGGATTATGAGGACAGAACAGCACTTTTCCTTCATCTATTTTTGGCAGCATTACTGAGACAATTCATACACCATACAATTCACTTACTTAAAGAGGGTAATTACTGGGTTTTAGTATAATCACAAAGTTATGCAAGTCACAGTCAATTCTGAAAATGTCATCGTCCCAGAAGAAACTCCATACTTGTCTTAGTTGCTTTTAGTCACTGAGACACAGTTTCTAGCACCAGCATCTTAAGGAAAGAGAGACATATTTTGGCTCAGCAAACCAGTAACCCCAGTCCTCGCACTGGCACCTGGCTCCAAGGCAGGACAGCATGGTGAGGATAGACAGCGGGCGTCAAGGAAGGGGTCAGCAAGAGAGCCGTGCCCTTCCTGGTCACACCCCGTGCCCATGCTCTTCCAGTCAGCCCCCCTTCTAAAGCAGGTCATGGGTAAGCCTCCAGCATCCAGCTCGCTTCCCCAACGCCTGCCAGTGAGCTCATGAGGCCCTCGGCGGACATGTGGGTACAAACCCCAATAATTCACTTTAGCCATCAATCTTCAACTTCCCTTCCCATCCTGACTCCGGACCCTAGACAACCGCTCATCTACATTCTATTCCTGAATATTTGCCTATTCTGAACTTTTCATACAAATCGAATCATATAATATTTATCTTTTTGTTTCTGACTTTTATTTAGCATCATGTTTTCAAGGTTCACCCATGTCATGGTAAATATACGTTCTTTCTATTGCTGAACATTTCTTCATTGAATGGGCATCCTATATTTTAGTTATTCAGCAGTTGGTGGATATTTAGTTTGTTTCTATTTTGTGATATTACAAGTAATTCTCCCATGAGCATCGTGTACCGGTTTTTGTAGGGATATATGGTCACCATCTTCTTTGTGTAAATCTAGGAGCAGAGTTGCTGCATCATATGACAATCTATATTTTAACTTTGGAGGTTCTGCCAGACTGTGTCCCAAAGCACCTGCCCCGTTTTACGTTCCTAACAGCTCCATATCCTTTCCCATACTTGTTGTCATCTACTTCTTTGATTCCCTTTGTCATTTGGCATTATTCTGGAACATTCCAGCGGTCAGACCCCAGGAGTTAGCTCTTCTTCCGTAGCGGAACTTGGTGCACTGTGTGCCTCCTGTTTTCCCCCGGGCCCTTCCTGGCTCTGCTCTGTGGCCTGGGTCGCCCCTGTGTGAGCTGGTGCTGGGGCTTCCCCGCTCTCTGGCCTCCCTTTGCATTCTGACAGTGAGGTCAGAAGCAAGATGGACAGCAAGACCGGGGTGTTTATTCTCTGGCTGTCCGGTCTGCTAAAGGATTTGGGTCACACGAGGCAGCTTTTTCCCATAGCTACCGTCTCCTGCTCTCTTCCCTGCTCCTCTTTGGACCCTTCAGTTCTAGCCAGGGTGATGTTCGTGCTGGGAGTCTGTGATGTCCCTCCTCTGCCCCCAAAGCCCATTCTCCTTACCTTGTAGGTGGCTCCTTTGTTGACTTGTGTGAGTGTGACGTCCGTTTGCTGCTGGGACCCTGCCTGATCCTGGCTGCAACCACTTCTCCTCCCCATGCTGCTGTTCAGCCGCTCTCTGTTCTGACTAAAGACTGCTTTGCTGCGGGATAATGTCTGAGTGTCAACTCTTTGTGTCACTACAGGCCTACATAAAACTTGGGGAGTACCAGAAGGCCCTGGCGGATTGTGACTGGGCCCTGAAGGTAAGAAAGTCTTTCCTTCCCCCTTCATAGCGTTGTGTGTGCTCGGGTCGGATGTCTAAATCCTAAAATGAATAGGAACAAGTGGCCAGCGTGTCACGGTGGGAAAGGGTATGGGCCCTGTAACACAGAGCCTGAGTTTCTTCATCTGTAAAATGGGATGGAACAGATGCTGCTGGATCATGATAATGCACATTTGATACATAGTATATACATTAGTACTCAGAGAAGCTCTGTTACTGTTTTGTTGAAGGTTTTATATTGCAGTAGCTTGTTTTTGTTTGTGTTCTGTTTTGTTTTTACTAGTGTTAGCAGATGCTTTGTTCCATGCCGTCATGGAAATGCTCCCTTCTCTAAGCCCACAGCAGGAGCTGGTTTTTGCAGTCTTGTCATTGTTTCTCATCAGTGTGTGCTCTCCTCCGCTGTCTCTGCCAATTTGGAAATATACTGTAACATCCTCTATTTATAGCGGGCTAATCACAATCAGCAGAAAGAATTCCTATTGCTAAACATCACTCACATCTCAGTCAGATACCAAGTACCCTGCACGCTATTCCCTCCGAAATCTACTAAAATAGATTGTCAGAGGGGCACAGAAGTGAGGAATGCTCGTGTTCCTGTTGCTGCAGTCACTTCTTAGGGACGTGATTTAAGGTGATGAATAGTTAACCCTTAATCCACATGCCTCTTTGCTACAGGGAGCTTGAACTCACTCAAGCTAGCGCTCCCCAGACTTCTTCTGTGAAGTGCTGCCAGCAGGAGAAAGGGGGAGCACGAGCCCTTCGGGGGCTCCCAGAAAGAAGAAACATGAAATCCTCTCAAGACATGATTTGTCTTACAAATCCTGGTGAATTCTTTATGACACTCTACAAAAATGTGTCTCTTTGCTTTAATGTAGCGTTATTGTTTTAAACAACTTACAACCAGGAGACGCTGAGGTCCCAGGAGAACGCGCTTGGCCTGTGCTGTGGTTTGACTGGCTGGCACAGCTGACCCAGTCCTGCCTCATGAGCTCGGTCTACATCGGGAGCGTGGTCTCACGGAGACATCCAGGCCCCGCCTGCTTGCTCACTTTTTATTGAGGGGGAAGAAAAGAAAATAGGGATGAACGAGGAAGTCACCTTTGCTTATGATGGCGTGTAAAGCACAAGAGTTCCTCCAAAAAGTGAAATCAGAGACTCATCTCTTTATCCTTTAGAAGATGCCGATTGTACTGGGAAGGTCTTGTCAAGTTATGAGAGTTGCCCAAAGCTGATGGGAACATCAGTCTTCACATCCCTAGATACCCTAACCTACTTTGTCAACGCTTTTGATCATGGTTTCTTTGTCTACTGTTACTCTGCAAGGGGAAGGCAGCGAGGCTGTATTGTTTAAACAATATCAGCAAAAACTACATTTGTTTCCTGTATACAACATCCTGGCCTGTTGTGCTTGTCCAGTTCCAATGTCTTCCCTGCATTTTGGCAGGGAAGCCAAGCCTCTGATATAATTAAGTAATTTACACAGCATCTCAGAGCTAATGTTTGTCTTGCTATGAGCCTGTGCTCTTAACCATGACCTCTCCCTTGAAACCTTTAACTTCATAATTGCGGGATGTGGATCTCATCCTCATCTGTGGAAGAAACAAAATGACCTTGAAGGGTCTCCGGGAGAATCTTTTCTGATCTGCAAGGACCAGACTGAAGAGGCAGACCACCCTGGTGCTGACTCAGGGTAGCACACGGGCCTGTTCCCAAATGTTAACTGAAGCACCATGTAATTAATGATGAAACCGAGGCAAAGCAGGCCCGATGGAGTGATGCTCAGAAGTGCTGACACTCAGCAGCCAGGCAAGGCGCCCACCCGAAGTGGTTTGGGGAAGCACATTGCGGAATGGGACAGATTGCACCAGGAATTCTAAAATCAAGCGATAGTAAGTTCTGTGCTGCAGTCTTTCAAAGAAAAAGTTTTGCTTTCTTTAAAAATATCAGTAGTGAACATCCCAGACACTCCGCAATTAATAGTGATAGTACTTTCTTGCTGATTTAATATTTTTGACACTTCCGAATCAGTAGAGACAAGCCTATGCGATGATATTTCAAGAGTAATATCATCAAGGAAAATTAAGGTATCGAAGCTGGTTTCAATCAGAATCACAATCTTTTCAGTTTTGAAAGAGTGTTTTCTGTGCAGTGAAATACATCTTGGTCTGAAGGCAGGCTTCATTTAAGGGGAACCAGGTGTTCACCCAAGAAAATCTTACTGAGGGGCGAACCATGCTCAAAGGAGAATGGGACGGGTAGTGAGAAAGTCCGTTGGTGGCCTCTGCATTGGTGTGGGGGAAGATGCAGTCACAGGTACTGTCACACTTCGCAGTGACACAGTGGGCCTGGTTCAGGCCTTAAGTGAATATCTGAGTGCTCTGTGGGCATCTGGCGCTCCTGAACTGACCTGTTGGAGTTTCCTCTTTTCTCTGATTCCTCTGCTTCATCTTTGGGGAGTTGTCCAGGCTTGAGGACCCGTTTCCAGCTTTTCTTCCCCCTCTTGAAGCTCTCGTCTCCTCTCGTGGGTTTAGTTCTGATCTCTGCAAACGCCTGCACACCTTCTCCCCTACCTCCCGCTTTCCCTGACCCCAGGGCTGCACGTCAGCCTCTTCCCACAGGCTCCTGTTGGATTGTCGTGACAGCATGCGGCCCTCAGCATGCCTAGAAGCCAGCTCCCCGTCTTCTCCATGTCCTCCCCTTTCTGACCTCTTCTTCTGTCAGTGTGGTCACCCCACAGTTTCCAAGCCCCAGATTTTGACATCAAATCCTCCTTCACCCTCGTCACTCACATTGAGTTGGTGCTGGTCTTTTCTGTCGTAGTCCTAGCATCTGTATTTCCTTCACTCCCACTGTCACCAGGACTTCAGATGTCAGCCGTGGTCCAAGTGATGGTCTGGTTCCCTCGCTCAGCTCTCTGCCTTTTCCTGCTGTGGTCAGGTGTACACCAGCCTCCAGACCAACCTGCTTCACACTGCCGTTGACGACACCCGCACCTTGCCAGGCGTTCAGGCCCTCCATCTGGAGGAAGGCCCAGCTGCCCCTTTCCAGCTGCTGCTTCCCACCATCCTCACCTGGGCCATCTCCCACCCGGGGCCCTGCTCAGCTCCTCCCCTCTGCCTCTCTTGTTACTCTCCCATCACTCAGGATCCGGCTCGAATCCCTCCGCTTTCTCATGCCCTCTTAGAACAGACTTCTCTCTACTGAACTTCTATAGTGTTCCCTACAATTTCTACCCACTTTTCCTGTTTCTGAAAGGCATTTAGTATTAGTTTAAATCCATGACTCCTGGAATCAAATGACTAGATTTCAAATTTCAGCTTTCACTCACTATTCATGTGATCCTGAACTTCTCCAGCTCCAGTTTCTTCATCTGTAAGTCATCGTGCTTACTTTGTTGGGTTGTCATAAGCCTTGTATGAGGTCTTCACATGAACCCTCAAGTTCGGCTTCTCATGAAATGGACTGAACAGTCACGCACTGCTGCTACTGCTACTGCTGCCTCCATCACCATCCACTTCGCAGTGAATCAGGAAATAATATCCAGGAAAGTGCACCCGGCTGGATTTCCAGGCTAACAGCCCTTTCTGCTGAGTGACAGAATAAAGCTTCACCCAGGACACGTTAGGCTTCTGAGTTGATCTCCTTAAGTCTGAATTCTAAAGAACACCTGACAAGACGATGTGCCTTGCACCTGAAAGGGATTCCATAAAGGTTACTTAACTGGCTGTCCTCAATTTTGATTGAGGTCTCTATGCCAAATCATTTCCCTCAGTTGTAGTGATTAGGGTCAGACACCAGATGCCAATTCCCTATGTGAATAATGCATTCTGAGCAGTGAGTTTCAATCTTGCCTTTTGAGAGGGTCCTTACTCTAGATAGTGATGTGAATGTAGGATCCCAGCGTACATGCTGTGGGCCATTTGAGGGGAGGAAGTCCCCTGGGCCACTGAGTCATCACCTCAGTCGCTTGCTTGCCCAGAGCCAGTTCACCCTCTTCTAATAAACCAGTTGTTATCAACTGTGGATGCACAGTTACACCCCCTGGAGAGCTAGAAATCATTTATTCCTAGACTCTACCCAAGACAATAGCTTAACTGATATAGGGTCGGGATTTTCATGAGCATCCTGTGTGATTCCAATGTTCATTCCATATTAAGAGCTCTTCTAAAGTAAGAATTTCTGGTTTGCTTCCTGAGTAAGCCTCATTAAATAGAACTGAAAACTGGCAGGCATTATTAATTGGATGGAGAGCTTCTTGTACATCCAGGCTCCTCCCAGGCATCATTTAGGTTTGTTACAGGTGCACCAAAAAGTTATAATTGTCAACTCTGGTAGCTATCCTGAAGACCAAAGCACTGCCTTCCCTCTATTAGTGAAGCAGATAGGGGAACCGATGACTTCACATCTTCTGAAACATCTGATCAGTTATTCTCTTTTATGCAGTGTGATGAAAAATGCACCAAAGCATACTTCCACATGGGAAAAGCCCACCTGGCTCTGAAGAAATACAGTGTGGTGAGTTCTTAAAGGGATGTCAGTGCATGCTTGACCACAGAGTATTGCTCTGGATTGATTGTTCCAGAGAATTCTGGCCCTCCAAGTTGGTTTGGTATAATTCTTCCCTTTAGCATTTTCCTAGACAAATATAATCGTGCCAGATGTAGGAATTTCTTTGGCAGCATTTTCTACCAGGATTCATCCAACTTCTGGAAAGAAAAACCACAGGGAAAGAGAAAATGTAATTCACTTGTAATCTCATCACCCAGAATAATAGCCCAAGTATGTATACTAAGACATTACATGCTGTTAATAACAGCTCTGCTGAGATGTAATTCAGATACCATGCAATTTACCCATTGTTATGGTTTCAGTCAAAATGTCCCCCAAAGGCTTCATGCACTCATGAGCCAGGCTTTTGGAAGGTGATTGAATTACAGGAGTGCTCAACTGACTGTGCTGTTAGGAGGCGGAGCTAGTTACAGATGAGTACTGGGAGCTCACCTGGAAGGGTATCTCTCCTTCCCTGGCTCCTCGACTTTCTCTCTTTCTGCTTCCCCGCTACCATGTCTCGAGCAGCTTCTTCTGCCCAGGCCCTTCCGCCATGCCATTTCTGTGTTTAAGGGTACTGAGCACGGACTGAAATGTCTGAACTGTGAGCCAAATTAAACGCGTCCTCCTTTAAGATGCTGAGTGTTTGTCCCACCGGGAGGAAAGTGGCTCACCCACCTCTGGGAAGCACACGATCGATGGCATTTTAGTAGGTCCTGAGTTGGGTGTCCATCACCAGAACCATTCACAAGTGCTGCTCTTTCCCTCGGCTACATTCAGCCTTAGACAGCCGTCATGCTTTCCACCTCTACATATTGCCTGCCCCGGACATTGTAATATGCCCTCTCTTATGCTGAAGTCTTTCACTTTCTAATGTTTTCGTGGTTCATGCAAGTCATGGTATGTGTCAGTTTTTCAGTCCTTTTTACTGCCCAATAAAATGCCATTGCATGAGTGCCCCATTTGTCAGCTCAGGGCCATCTGAGCTGTTCCCACATTTTGACTGTTATACCTAAGGCATTTATAAATATTCATGGGCAGTGTTTTTGTGCTTACAATTTTCATGGGTATATGTCTAGGAGTAGAATTGCTGGGTCACACGGTAACTCCATTATTAACCTTTTGAGGAACAGCCAAACTATTTTTCAAAGCAGCTACAACTTTTTAAATTCTGTAATTCTTTCAGCATTTTCCCAGAGACTCAGTTGATTCACGTCTTTTCTGGTACCTGTACTAAATCTCCAGCTTACAGATGAGTTCTGCTCTCCTAAGTTAGATTTATTCATACATCCAACAAAGTGAGTCTTGCACACCTTCAATGCAGGCATACAATGTAAAGCATTAAAAAACCAAACCACATCGCCGCTGCTTCTCCTCTTGCTTCCAGACATCCTGGGCTCTGATCGAGCTCTGTACTACCATACACTATCACACTGTACAGTAAGCACACAGCAGCACGACTGGCGATGTCTGCCAGACCCAGAGCCGCTTCTGTGATTTGTTTGCGTCTGTGTAGAGCGAGGTCTGTGCACGGCTGTGAAAGTCTGCAGCTCCACATTCGCGAGTCCGGGACTTACTGCGCCGTGTTATCTTTCTTTTTCCTTACATCTGTTTAGTGAATGTCCTCTCGTGGTGTGTGCATTTGTGCAGCCCGAGTAACTAACGGTGCTGATATGTCTTTGTGTGCTTATTAACTGTTGTACCTTCTTTGGAGAACTGTCTTTTCAGATCCTTTGCCCATTTTTAAGTGAGCTTTTTTAACTTGTCTTTTTCTAGTAAATTTTAAACCTTTTTCATAATTCAGAATACAGATTTCTTACCAGATGCATGATTTACAGATACTGTCTTTCATTCCGCATGTTACCTTTTTCACTTTGTTGATGGTATTCTTCATAACTCAAAATTATTTCATTGTGATGAAGTCTATTTTTTCTTTGATTGCTTGAGCTTTTGGTTCCCCAAAATGAATATTTATATCTATTTTTTAAGTCTTTTTAAAAATTTTTAAAACAAAACAAGACTAAAGTTAAACCCCTGTGTATTACCATGCACTAAAGTCAAAATGGATCAAGGATCTATCTGGTTTTTTTTTCTAAGAGTTTTATGGCTGAAGCTCACACCTTTAAATCTCTGGTCTGCGTTGAATTAATCTTTGTGTGCGGTGTGAGTTAAGGGTTCAGCTTTATGCTTCTGCATGTGGACTCTCAGTTGTCCAGCATCATTTACTGAAGGGATTCTTCTTTCTCCATTTGAGTGATTTTAATCAGTTAATCATAAATATATGATTTTCATCATGGACTTTAAGTTCAGGTGAGAAGGAGACTGATTCTAGAAGGCTTTTCAGAGGCCCTAGGCTTTTATTTTGAGTGATCTGCCAGCTGTGGAAGGGTTTTTAATAAATCTGATGGGCTCTAACTTACATTTTAAAGGATTACTTTGACGTCTGAGAATATATTTTGGAATAGCAAAATAAAAAACCAGAACCCATTAGAAAAAAAGATTGAAACAAATTACCTAAATAGGAGTGGCTGTGGGGACGGTGGATATAATAAGAAGCATTGGGATTCTGGGTGTATATTGATGGTGAAGCCAACAGAAATTACTGATAAATTGGATTTGGGGTTGAAGAGAAGTTGAGTTTAATGTACGTACTTCTGTTCTGCAGCAGTGCCCCTTTGTAAAATGTGATGCTTTTCTTTATTTCTTAATCTGGCTTCTAGATGAGACATGAACATTCACTTCAAGATGTCTTTGAACTGTTTGTGGTGTTTCCTTAGCACCCCCCGCACCCCGGGCCTCAGTGACTGGTTGGATTATACTCTGGGCATTTCTTATCCATATGGGCAGTGGTGTCTTAGCCTTGAAATCCCCGTGAACTGGAATCTGTCGTCTTCCAGAAACTTCTTACCTAAGTTCCCTCAATGACAGCACCTCCCTTTCAAGTTTTCTAACTGAGACAGAGTGGTCAGCGAGCGAATGGACCCCTGCAGCTGTCCTGAAGGCTGTGCGTTCAATGAGGCAGCTCTTTTTTCTTATTCCTGAATCTCTATCAACAGTGCCTCCAACCTCATTTATTTCCTCCTCCCTTTAGACACAGCTGACAAGTGTCCTCCTAGTTTCTCTTAGTGCAAACGTCATACCTAAGTTTCGCATTTACCTGATGATTATCCCTATCCCAGACAGACATGATCCACATAAACTTAGGACTGGATATATTTTTCGTCCCAGTCTGTATCTGGCAACACGATTTTTAGCATGAGCTTTGAAATCGTCCCTATATCCTCCCTAGAACCAGAAAAGCCTGAACAAAGCATCGTAAGCACACTGTGCTGCTCCGGGAGCCGCAGGAAGCCAGGTGGATAATGCAGGAGCCCAGTCTTTCTTGCAATCACCGTTAGCCCCAACAACCCTTCAAGGTCTTGTTTCTGTTTTCCAGTCCCGACAGTGTTACCAGAAGATGTCTGAAATAAACCCTAAGCTGCAGACACAGGTGAAAGGTGAGAGTGTTCCTGCTGGCATCCGTGCTCCAAACCTCATTCTCCTTATGGCTCCTCCCTGCTGGGTGTCTTCCTGTTTTCTCTGCCTGGAGCCACAAGGCAACACCTTTTCTTTTCTGCATGAGCCGCCCTGGCCCTCACCCTGTGTTAAGAGGCCCATAGGACTCCTCTCCCCCCTCTTCTCCCACTCTACTTTTCACCTTCCTTTCCTCTGTTCCATCCCCTCAGAGTGTTCCAGACCGCTCTGCACCCCCAAGATGGCTTAAGAATAGGGCTTTACCTTGTTCCTAAAGTTTTCTGTGCTGAAGAACTGTTCAGATTATTTTAATGCTCTATACTTTTTAACGTCCAACAAGAGAGAAAAAAAAACAGCAAGGGAAGAGCAGTGACTTTCTGTGGCGTATTGTTGGGTGACTTCTTGTATGGTGCTGTTGATGGCAAGGGTTTTGTCTGGTTTATATGTTCCTGCTTATTTTCACCAGAATACCTGCACCAAGTAGATCTACAGGAGAAGGCAGACCTTCAAGAGAAAAAAGCCCGTGAATTACTAGATTCGAAAAACAGCACTGCTGTGACAACCAAAAACCTCCTGGAAACCCTCTCGAAGCCTGGCCAGGCACCCTTGTTCTATGCGGGGGGAATTGAGATCCTGACTGACTTGATGAAGGATGGTAAGCCAGAGATGAGTGTAATCTCAGGCGTGTTTTCAGTGTGAGGACGCAGGGCGTGGGGGGTCAGCTGTAAGAGACAAACGAATTCTTTCTTTCTTTCTACAAACACTGACTAAAGATCTGCTCTAACATAGTTGCTGTAGGGGTGCACAAGAAATATCCCCGCCCCTTTCTTCCCTGTCCCCTCTTCAGACGTGCATCCGTTGCCACACATGCAGTAAACACTGCACACACAACACAGTGCAAAGCACACGCTGCATATGATACACTGGGTTCCCCTCAAAATACCCCCTGACTTAGGACAAATTTTTCCCATCATGCCTGCCGCTTTCTGAGACAATTCTGGAAGCCCTGTTTTGTGTCGCACTATCATGCCTGCCTCAACGTCCTTAACTGATTCCAAACATTGAGCTTGCAAGGGCATTTTGACTCTGAGAAGAGCCAGAAATCGTTCGGTGTCAGCCCCAGGGGACGCAGGTGCGGACACACCATGCCTTTCCCTCGGATAGCATTTGGTGGTGGCACTGACCATATTTTTGATCATACCTCGTGAAGATGCTCCTGAAAGAAGATTTCCAGAACGCTTTACAAAGAGGAAAGAAAAGCGGGATATGTCGGGTGAAGGCGGGGGAGCAGGTTGAGCGTGCTTACGGGCACTGTATCTTTTACTGTAATAAACTTTTAAAAACTTAGATACCGTATTTCATCAGCCCTCTTATACATACCACGCGCACATTCACACAGAGGGAGGCCTCACAGGGAGCATTTTCACCTGTCACATGTGTAGGACATGTGCACACTGCGTGCCTTGCACACGGTGGGCTCAGCATATTTACACAGTGTACATGTTCTGTACACACAGTCCTCACCGTGCTCCTCACATCCCACACACACCTGCACATAGTCACCACCCACACATTCACCTCAAACATTCTACGCACTTCCTGGAGAAAACTGGAGTGCAGAATTTGGTAGGATGAACCGTACGATCCATTCAGGTAACGCTGAGTGGCTGTCTGTAATGTGAAAGTGGTTTCCAGGAAGCATCAGCTGGCCTTCTAATGAGAACCTTACCTTTCTTGTGAACACTGATGCCAGGCCTTAAGCAATTCTTGTTGCTCAGTGGGAGTGTTTTTTGTACACATGGATGGGGCCGCTGGCTTCCCTTTAGTATATAGTAGAAGTTGCTCAAATATCCCCTCTGACAGTCTTTGGGAGATTACAGGTTTTTTTCTGGAGCCTGGAAACAGATTCAAAATAAGTATTTTGGGATAGATGTGAATGCCAGTGTTTTCCAGAGGTCAAGCATTTCCTAGAGGCTCTCTGGAGACTGCAAAGGGATGAGTTGTGCCACTGACTCCAGGGCCACCCCAGCTCTGCTCTGCTCTGAGTAACTTCTCTAACTCAAGCACTGAGTGGCTGTGGTTTTCGGAATCTAAAGGTGTTTGTTTCTGCCAAGCTTTAAATTAGTGTGCTTGTGCGTTCCGGGGTTCCGTATCAGCTGACCGGGCTGCAGCTTGTCGCCAGCCAGGCAATTCGGGAGCCTGACGTGGTTTCCTGTGAATTTGTTTCAGATGCAGAACAAACTTTATTCAGAATGCACAATGGATTCAGCAGCATCAGTGACAACGAGGTCATAAGAAGGTAGGGACGTTTGGAAAGACAGCTCGTGTCAAGGCAAGCACACACTCATTTCTCCTGAAGCCAGATGATGATCGTACAAGCAGTGACATTACCGTGTCTCTGCCCCTCTGTGTGCGGAGGTGGAGGGGTCAGTCAAGGGTGTCACATGAATGCACTTGAGCCTGGCACTGGGGTTGCTTGAGTTGTGTGCGCTGTCAGCTGGAGACGAGGAACAAGAGCTTGTCCCGGGCTTCTCCGGGCACTTCAGAGTCAGGGAGGTAGTGGTTTCCCACCAGTTTTTACAGGATTTCTGTGTGTTCTTTTTCTCTTTTTGAATTCTCTCGTCACATGAGAAAGTAGAATTGACTGGGTCCTGTCTGACCCTACTTAGAATTTCATGTGGAGAAAGATCTACATGGTAGGAGGTGGTTTATTAAACTCGTTTTTACTTTATTTTATATTTCCACTGTGTACCTGGCGTGACTCCTGAGGCTTAGGATTCTGACATAGGCTTGAGTTGCCAGCACATATTTGAATGTCCCGGCTGTCACCATGGCCCCAGCTCACCACCCACCCTTTGGGCAGCCTTCACCCTGCTTCCTCCAGCCCGGGGACTTATCCTGGCACTTTTGGTTCAGTCACTGCCAGTCCTTTGACCCCAGTGCCCTGTGATTTTGACTCATAAAATTACTTCCAAAAGTCTAGGTATGAAATAAACCCCAGTCAAAAGCAAAGCAAGACTGATTTCTGTATTTCCCCCTGTTCTGCACATCCATTGTAGGTGCCTTTCCGCGGCGGAAAAAGATGTGATTGAAGAGACAGTCTGTGTGACCATTCTTAAGCTTTGGCAAGCAGTGTGCCGTGGGAACGGTAAGCCTACACTGTGACTGCTGGGCTCCGGTGATGAGCCGCGGTGCTGGAGCTGCACAGTGGGGTGGGATTCCTCCCCCCGCCCCCAAGCCAAGTCCTGGAAAGCTGGTTCTAGGCCTCCACATACACTCTCTCCTCCCTCAAAAAAGCACCTGCACCCAAATAAGGTGTCCGGTGCAGTTAAGTCTCTACCTGGTCCCTGCTGGCTGCAGCCTGACAAGTGCTCTCTCACCTGGGCCTCTCTCTGCAGACTGGTGATGTCTGCTCATGGCTGGTAATGGGGGGCATAGAGCGTTTCATTTCCTGTCTGCCCAAGAATCATTTTACTGCACACAGTGCTCATCTGAGCTGTAGGACCGTCAGCCAGTGGTATTTTCAGACACTAATCCTGTCTGATATTGACACAGGACAATGCTGCAGGGAGTTGTATTTTCCATGTCAGTCTTAAATTTTTTTTCATAGTAGCATCTTCCGGACTTCATTAAGCTCTTGTGTAATCTTTCTTGGTCATCTTTGTGACTTCAGTGTAAGTAAAGATTTTAAGTGTTTGTCTCATTTTTAAAAAGTGTGTTTCATAGAAAACACACAGCACAAAAACCAGGAATCATGATTGATGTGTGACATTTCCACAGGGCTAATTGGGAAGCCAGGGGCAAAGCCTACAAGTACAGTTTATATACTATAAAATGCGGAGTATAACACAGCTGTACTCACTTAGTAGAGTGAGAGAATCAAGAATTTAAGAAAATAAACTCTAGAAAACCAAACGATCAGCAGGCTTATTTTTTAAAGGGCTCCTGCACAGAATAACCAACTGGGCGCCCTGTTCTTGTGAATAGGACCCCCGAGGCTCGGGCTGTGTGCACAAAGCCCCCTGCAGAAGGGAGGGAGGCAGACCTGGTGCCAGTCTCTGCACTCCTCATAAACCTGCCACCGTCACCCACTGACTGTGCTTCCTGTGAAGTGAGAGTTACATATTTTTAAACACCTGAAAAATATGGTCAGATATGACCTAGGATATTTATCTGTATCTCAGGCCTGTGAAATTTTGATATACTTAGTTCAGTAAATAAAAAGCAGCCTTTAAGCAGGACGAGGGAATACATAATAGTAAGAACATGAAAATATGTTGATGATGTATTGCAGAGTGGGAGAGAAAAGCCAACTGCAGAGTAGGATGCATAATACTTTTAATATTATTCTTACAGTGGGGTGAATATAGCTCCTCAGGGAACTGGTCCTATCCGAGGTGGCCCTAGAGAAGGGGACTTCCATTTTCAGCGTGGTGCTGTGTCTGTGTTGCCTAAATTACCTACAGCAGGTCCATTTTCCAGTTGTCCTACGTCTTGGCTGAGGCTGGAAGAGCTGAGGTCTGCTTCCTCTGCTTGACCGCTTTGTGCAAGGTGGAGACGGGGAGAAAGCCCAGGGCACGAGACCTGGGTAACGGGCCCCCTTCCACCGCGGTCCGTCTTGCGCTGCCTGACTTCACTGCTCATGTCACCCTCCCTCCCGTGTCCCTGCCTGCCCTCAAGTACCTGCCTGTTCAGTACACGAAGCAGATGAAAAGGGGTAAATCCTATGCTACTCCCCTGGAGATAGCTCATAGCTGAGGAAGGAGGGCATGGTATTAATGAATGTCCTCATGTGACACTCTAGTTTCCTGGAAAAAACTTGATGGTCACACTAGCCATTAATGAGGATCGATTTCTAATGATGGTTACAATTAAGCTGATTTCTTTCCCTTTGCTGCCATTTCGAGATGCTACATACCAAAGACCGTTTGACAGTCATAACATTACAGTCAATTTGTGTGTGCTGGTCCCTGCCTGGCACGATCATGGATTGACTTCCTGAGTCTCCTGCCAACTCTAGTGGACAGGTTGTTTGTAGCCATAGCACCCTGGACATGCCATGTGTCGTTTATTGAGTGAGTTATGACCCTCATTTTACTGATGGGGAAACAGGGGCACAGGAGTTGATAACTTGCCAAGGCCACTTCCCCTGCTCGGTCAGACCCAGCAGTCTGGCTCTAGGGTCCTGCTCCAATATCACATCACGCTTCTCAAATGAGTGCAGAAGAGCTGGCTTCGCATTAGGATAATGGGAGACAGAACTGGCTGAATTACTATGGTAATCTTCACACAGCAGGTGACAACTGTGTTTTGCAGAGGAAAACCAGCGTCTGCTTGTGCTGCACCCTGACACGGCCAGGCTGGTGCCCTCCCTCTTGACCTCCAAAGTCATGGCCATTCAGCAGCAGAGCCTGGCTCTGCTACTGCAGCTCTCTCAGACTGAGCACGGACGGAGTCTGGTCATCAGCCACCTTGACTTGACCCGGTAAGGTTCTGCTGGAAGGATGTTTCTCCCAACATCTTGGGTCGTCATTCGCTAGACAATTTCAGACTGGTCTGTCGCTCTCCACGTGTCTCTGATATGTGGACTGCCATCAGACGCTGTAAAGGATCAGGAGCAGAATGCTGTCAGGGGGACCTCCAGGACCAGCTCCTGTCTGAGTCCAGTGCCATGGGGAGCTTCATTTCTGCACAGCTGGCCTGTCTCCATCTCACAGATGTTACAGACAGCATCTGGGCAGCCCTTCCACAGCCAGATGTGAAACCCAGCCTTGAAGTGGTCACTTGCTTCGATTCTTTTGCCCTCAGGCCTGGCTCCATCCTAGTCCTGCCCCTCTGTTTCCTCTTTTCTTCCTGCTTGAAGTAATACCATTTGATCTGCCTATCTTTAAACTGTTTCTGCAACAAAGTAGGTTATAAGTTAATACAGAGATGCTGTTATGTGGGGATCTTCCCAAGCCGAAGACATTCAAGAATAGGATGCTCCTCTCTCTGAAGGAGACTTCTAAAAAATTACCTAGACCACTACGATTCTGCCCATTTCTTTTCAGTTTATTTCTGTTTTGTTTATTTTCTGAGTTTACTGATTTATTTTGTTAATTTTCATTTTATTTTTCTTCCAATTATTATCTTCCAGTTTCAGACAGGCTCGTTCCCACCTCATGTCTCTGTTGATTTGAACATAGTAAAATTGCCATTTTTGAGATCAGAAGGTTGCATGTAGTTCAGCCTCATGAACAGTAGCAGTTATTACAGCCTGCCTTATAGATTTTGCTTGCATAGCCTACGAACGGCTTCTCTCACTGTAACTTTGTCTCCCCTCTTCTTGTGGAGTAGGTCAGGTCATTGATTGGCTCCATTTCACAGATGGGGCAGTGTCTTAGTTACTTTTTACTTGTCGCTGAGACAAAATATCTGATGCTCAAAGTTGGGAAAGGAAAGGTTTATTTCTTACAGTTTTTGGAGGTTTCAGTCCACACTCAGTTGGCTCCAAGGCAGGCGGGCATGGCTGGGCCGCAGTTCATGGTGGCTGCAAACAGTAAGCAGGAACTGGCAAGAGAGAGAGAGAGAGACACCTTCTTCCTACCATTACATCATGTCTTGGCTCCACCCCTATGTGGGTGGAGCACTGACACCATCAATACAAGCACTAGACAATGAACCAATCACAAATGCACAATGCAAACTCATGATTCCTGGCGGCCACCGACATAAACCATGACAGGCAGGAGCAGGTACAACAGGGAAAGGAGGCTCAGTCAGCTGTCGCCCTAGTGTGTATTGCTTGGGAACAGAAGAAGGAGCCACTCTGCGGTCCCATAGGATCTTCCTTAGATCGTGCTGAGTCCTTCCACAGGTTAATTTTGGTGTTGCTTATAGGAAAACCATTGTGACCAAACACCTGATATTTGTGAAAGTCTCCTTAGAGGGAGAAAGGTTTGTTTCAGTGCATATTGGGCTGGCTCCATTGACATCAGCCTATGGCAAGTCAGACATCATGGTGGAAGGGTGTGGCGGGGGAGAGGTGCTCTCACCTCATGGCAGTGAGGAACCAGAGAAGGGAAGAGAGAGAGAGAGAGAGAGAGAGAGAGAGAGAGAGAGAGAGAAAAGACCAGGGGATGAGACACACTCCTCCAAGGCCGGCCCACTGCCCTTCTTGCTCTAACTGGGCCCTGCCCCCAATGCCTTATTAACTGCAAACTCATCAGTGGGCTAATTTATTGATGAGACTGGCACCCTGCTCTTTTGTCACCTCTCTGTGCTTCACCTCTGAACAGTGCAGCATTGGGGACCACGCCCCCAAAACATGAGTGTTTGGGGATACTTGATGTTTAAATCATTGCAAGTGAGGAGGCTCAGTGTAGGTAAGACAGAGTGGTCTTTGGGCCTCCGCTGTGGCCCACTTTGTTTCTGCACTGTGCCTGATCCCAGTCCCAGCAGCTGCCCAAGCAGGCCTTGGCGATCTGCTGAGCCTCATTACCCCGGAGGACGTAAGGTCAGGGAGTGAAACCCTCCAAAAGCACCTCACTCTCTTAATGACTCTGGTCATTTCCTCCGTGCCTTCATCTGTTAGGGTTTTTTAATTGGATTTTTGCCTTTTTGAGTAGACGTAGCTATGGTTATCATAAGTGTTTGCCCCACAAGCTATGTTTGAATTGCTTGAGTTTCAATATGGATTTTTCCACTGTCTTACGAGTGGCGTTTATGATCACCCTGTGTAGTCCTGCCTGCTCTCTTTGGGCACTCAGAGAAACCAGCTTATTACTTTCATGCTTGCTTATCGGGCTAAAGCCCATCTTCGGTTAAACTGGGAGGGAGTGTAATGGGTTGTGAGTAATGAAATGAGGTGGTTTGGAGCAGCACAGGGCAGCAGCCAGTCCCATGACTTTTTTACTATTAAGTTTATTGGTATATTTAGATACACATAATGATTCCATTCAGCATAGGGAATTTGTAGCTGTACAGGATATATCTTGATTTATCTTTTTTTCCCATTCCTTTCCCCTCCTTTTAACCCCTCTTCCCCTGCTCATTTACAAAGCTCTGTTTCCATTTATCTCTCTTTTCTCATTTTTTCTTTTCCCTTTCTTCCCCCTCCTTCCTTCCTGGTTCCTCTTTCATTTTGAATGATTTCTTCCAATCACAATATCTATTATACATTTTGGCTCCTATTTACACTTTCAGTGAAATATTTACATGTGTATGTCCACTTTATTTCACTTAAATGTATGGTCTCACGCTCCATCCATTTAGCTACAAATGACCCTAGTTTACCTTCCTTTATGGCTGAGTAGTATTCCATTGTATGAGAGAGAATAGGTGGAACTCTTGAAGACATAGGTGTAGGCAAAGGCAAAACCCTGACCGTATGGGAAATACTACAAAGAACAACTGTGCTCTCGTCTTATTAAAAAGCCCATGACTCTTGCAGAGGTGTATAGATCATATTCCTCCCAAAATGTTCCCCTCATAGAAGAGATTGAGGAGGTGAACTTTGTTAGCAAGAACCCACCAGGGGCCAGTGTCATTCTGTAGAAAACACTGAATTTTTAGATTCAATATATCCTGACCTTAACTCCTTTGCATGACTCTTGCGACTTACGTGACCACAGCCCCGATGGGCCCAGTGTCTCATAGTTTAGGAAGAATGATGTATCCATGTCAGTTGAAATTTGAATTGTTGGCCAGAAGGACCTGAAGCAAAATAGAGCCTGGCTTGCTTTTCTCACATCACAGGAAAAGCCTAAGCAGCTAAGTTGTAACGTAAACATGTCAAGCTCAGCCTTTGTCCTCTGTCTTTCCCTCCTCCGTGGTCATTCCTTCCCCCAGCTGCAGCACCAAGCTGCACATCTCTCTTTAAGATAGCTCAGCACCAGGGAAGCCATTCTTTTCCTATAAAGAAAAGAAATTGCATGTGCCGATTTGAATAGAATTCAGTTACATGGCATCCATTGAGGGTGAAATGGTCCTGACTTCTGTAGTAGAGTCAGGCACGATGGATGGAGTAGGAATACCTCCAGGGTTAACACGAACCCAGTCTCCAGCATAACAAGGAAAACTACCTGCATCATGCCTGCCACTTGGTATGGACTCAGCGCTATTTCATAATCACTTTCTCTCTTTGGGGTATATTGTTCTGGGTCCTAAACTGAGGCAAGAGTGCATTCGCTGGTTGCCTGAACACTTTCTCTGACCTGTAAGCCACACAGCTGCTTGTCAGTACAACATAAGATCTACCTCTTAGCAAGGGGGGCTGGGGAGGGACACACTGTCCCCTTTAGGCTCTGAGTGTGCTTAGGGGATATTTTGTCACATCATGAGGAAGCCTACTTGTTTATGTCCCATAAGACAAAGCCAAGATGATCTCAGACTGTGTCTCATCCTCTGTGCTGTTTGGATTCATTAGTATTCACCTTCAAGCCCAAGAAAACAGACTTAAATTGGTAGAGGAGGAATCTGAACTAAGTGTAAAATAAATTATTTCTGACATTAAAGACACTGAAGTACACTTCTGAGAAAGTCAGGGATTTGTAGAAGCTTGGAAATATGAGAAATTTAGAGACCATTCTGCCCAGCCTGCCCTGCCCAGTGGACCCTGTTTGTGCTGTCCTAGCACAGCTTCTCTGGGGAGGAGCCAGTGTGCTCACCGTATTTGCCTCTGTTTGATTTGGGATGGACACAAAAGCAACTTACCGGCTGAGGGGTCTTTCTCTGGCTGGTGAGGGTATGGAGCTGACACCCAAAGCAGTCCACCCACACCTGGTGTGGTACAGATGGATGGGAACTATCTCCTTACGCTAAACACAGACCTCCTGGCCCACTGCATTTGGGTCCAGATGCCTGAAGACCTATAGAACGCAACAAATCCATTTTCCAGGGTTTTGGGTCTGAAACACCAGTCTTTTCTGGGTTAAACATCCTGCTTCCCTGGACCATTCTTTAGGTGATTTATCTTCTGGACCCCTCCTAGATTCAGTTGCTAAGCAGATCCAGTACTCTAGAAGTGGGTCACCAAATGCCACACTCCCAAGTGACCTGTCCAGTGTACTCTTTTCTGTCTCTCACTTGACTGCCCTGTGGCCTTTGGTCCTCTTGACCGCTGCCTTTCTTAAAACTACAGTTGTGACTACCCAGGTGAACTTTTGGCCACCTCCTCTCTGCTGGCTTTTCCTCTGGGATTCCTTCACTAACCCTCTTCTGCTGTCACGGTCAGAGACCTCAGGATCCTACCCTTGACCTTCCTTTGATCTGCAACTGTAGGAGATAAAATATGAGTCCTTCTCTTGAGTGTTAGATAATAATATTCTGCCAGTGGACATCTCTATGTCAACATCTGTGAGTATCATAACTAACAAATCAAAATGTGGCTCTTCAAATCAGATCTCTATCTGAATTTCCTGTCCTTGCAGGGGAAGATTGCTGACGCCAGATCCTAGAGATGACCCTGGTCACCCCTTACCACCTCCACAAGATAGTCAGCTGTCGGTCCTTGTTCCTCCGCATTGCCTGGGTCGTTGCCCTCAGTTCTCCTTCTCCGTCTCTAGTTATTTCTTCTTGGTGTGTGAGTGCCTCCTTTTTGATGGTAGCTCTTATTCCGCCCCTGCTGCAGTTTATCCGTTAACCTTTCTTGTCTGGATAAGACCAGTACTCCCCTGGTTGGGTTCTCCTTGTCCTCCCTGCTCTAATCTGATCTCCACCCAGCAAAAGGATTTATCGAACATGCACATCAATCCTGTTATTTCTCTGCTTATGATGTTGAAATGTCTCTGACTGGTCAAACACTACTTTTCTAATTCTCAAGACCAAATCTAGTCAGCTAAGAATGTGGTTAAAATGCAGCCTCCTCCCTATAACACTGACAGACAGCAGCCTAGAATCCGTGCCTACCTCCACTACCGCCACACAAGTCTTCTACCAACTACGCTTTGAAGAACAGGGTTATTGGCAGGCTGCAGAAGCCCACCATGACATGGGCTGTCTGTCTCCCTCGCCTTATCCTTCTGTCCCCCCATCATACCCTGAGCACTCACGATAAGGACCCCTCAGTTCCCATGGACTGAGGGCACCTCAAGGGTTTCTGTCTTACACGATTTTTCTGTCCTCATACTTCCCTGCAAGACAGGACATGACTTGTTTAATTATCGTTGCCCCAGAGCCTACCATATTACCTGACAAACAGTCAATCAATGCTCATTTATTGTTATCAGTTTGACAAATAAGTGAATGAATAGCTAATGCTGCTCTCTCAAGAGGTCCACTATTGAAGCCTTCTTCCTCTCTGGCTCCTTACGCCTCCTTCACATTGGGCTCTTGGGCCACCAAACATGTATCCATTTCTAGCACACCGCCTAACACATTTATTTTCCTTAATTACTTACGCGTATGTCACTGTAGTGGACCAGGAAGCCAGCACTGAGCATGGTACTCAGCACTGGTAGATTCTTAATACTGGACATTACTTTCTCCTTCCATTGGCTGGTGCCAGTAAATCCACTGGGGCAGCCTGAGGTTACATTCATTCTTTTCTGGCAGCTGCACCAGACTATTGGCCCAGACTGTGTTTGCAATGTCTGAAAACTCTTAAATCTTTTCCATTTCAACCAGTTCAGAAGCAGGTTTCTGAATTCTATTATTGACACAGAATTTTCACCTCTTAGTGGAGAACTCTGAGTTTAATCTGATGTATTCAGCAGCCTGTTGAGATCTTGTTAAATTTTTCCATCACCCACTTTATTATGGGGCCCTCCCACTTCAGTCATCAGTAAATTAGTAAGCACCCCATTTAGAGGTCATCTAATTTAATGAACTTGATGAGGCCAGAGCACCAGAGACTACTTCCAAGGGGATATCTGATAATCAATAAACACTAAACTTTGGTTAAAGCTGTTTAACCAGGGAATTCAATTAAAGAGTGGAAACATTCCAAAAGGACAATGGCTGTCTGTTTGGGGCAGGCAACGAGCTGGGCTTCCCAGGAGAGCATGGTGAGGCCACCCTTTTAACTGCTCTCACCTGGATGCTAACTGTTTCCTGGACTCCTTGCAAAGTTATATTGTTGGGGATATGGGTAGTTGGGTGACAGCCCACTCTCAAAATTTTATGGGATTTTTCAGATTTCTGGAAGCACTGCTCTCATTTCTTGACTTCTCAGACAAGAAGGCCAGTACTGCTATTCGACTGCTCACAGACTTAGCTCTAGAAGAAAGGTAATGATTTTACTTCCAGAAATTGACAGTTCTTCCACCTATGTTGAGTTTTCTGATATTTTCTAATTGTGCAGTATGCAGAGAGGCTAGACAAAGTCTCTAACTGAACACCATAATATTCGTAGCATTCATTGTATTCGGAGAGGACTGATGCCTGCCTGGAGGCAGTGACCATCCACCTCTGTCTCAGACAGTCCAAGTGGAGGCTGCCCCAGTTTTTACTGGGTCTGGAATCAGTAACATGCAGTGGGCTCTTTGTATCTTTGCATATTCAGTCAAACACAGATGAAAACCTGAAAAAAATATGTCTTTATTGAACATATACAGACTTATTTCTTCTCATTCCTTAATACAGTGCCTGAACTCTTCAGCACTGACACTGTATAGGAACAGTAAGAAATCAAAAGATTAGACAGGAATTAAAGTGTGCAAGAGAATGTGTGTAGACTCTATACAAATGCTGTGACATTGTACCTAAAGGAACTGAATGTCCACAAATTTTGGTAGCCAGGGGGTTCCTGGAACTGATCCCTAGCAGACACTGAGTAATGACTACTTAAAAACATTGTCTTGCATAGGCAGCACACCTGCTATGTGTCAGTAAACTCCTCTTATCTAGTACCTACCGAGTTCTTGGTGAATTAGCAACAGTGAATGAGCAATGGAATGTAACCCGGGCTTGCCTGCGGCGCTGCAGGGATGCCTCTCTTCCTGCCCTGGATTTGGTGTTAAAGTTTTGCTTAACTGTCAGGAAAGACAGTAAAGTACTTAGACTTTTATAATTCTTAAGATTTTTTTAAAAAGCATGTTTTTTTTTTTTTTTTAAAAATGTCCTTACAAACTTTAGAGGCCTAGAAACAGTTATTAATGGGGAGTGGCTTGTGCTCTAGACAATCAGCCAGCTGGCACGGGCAGGAAGTGTGGACTGCTGCTCTGTCCCGTGCAGATGTGTGTGCAGCTGGGTACTTGGACAGCACACACACGAGAGAAGGTTGTAGAGTCGGCTCAGAAGAGGACTGGGGATTCCAGCAACTTCTGCTTAAAACAGCTGCCGCCCGAGATCTATCACTGAGTATTAAAGACATTCTCTAGACTTGGAAAAACTAAAGCCGTATTATAAACTTCAGATGAGAGAAAGGTCAGAATGAACTGTCCACTCCTGCTGTAAATCACACAGGCCCCGTTCATAACTGTTAGTTACTCAAGACGCTGTATTTATGTTATCACTTGTGCCATGTGCAGATAATCCTGGCTGACATTTTCTTGACAGATTCCAAGTCTGGTTCCAGGCCAACCTTCCAGGTGTTCTCCCCATACTCACAGGTGTTCTGGTGAGCAAATCCTCACTTCTGTCCTCTCTGGCAGACATGCAGGGAGCTGGCACAGTTGTTTAGACATGGTTTCCACCGCAGAACCCTTGTTGCCTCTCAGGTTGATTAATCGTTTATTGACAGGTGGAATTTACATAATTCTCAGGTGGAGGTGGCACAGGAATGGGGCTGGTTATAAGGAAAAAAGCTGGTGTGAACTGCATCTTAGATCAAAGGGGGAGAGATTGTCAGTCGCCATTGGTCCCCTTCTGTACAAAATCTCTTCACCCCTGTCAGGGGGACGGTATAGCAGCTGCTACTGATGAGATGCAGGACAGTAAGAGTCCTTCCGGGGACCATGCTGTGCTCACCTAGGGAGCATAACCACACTCAGGAACTTCACAGCTGTGAAAATGGAGCTCTGAGAAGGGAAGGGGCTTACCCAGGATCACGGCTAGTTGGTGGAAGAGCCAACACCCTATTGGGTCCACTCCTGTGTGCTTTGTCCCGTTGCCAGGGGGACCCCGTTGATGTCTCCCAGTGACATTAAGCTCACCGGTTTCCAGCCTTTTGTTGAGTGAAGACCACTCCTAGAGATCCCTCTGGCATCATTTACCTGTTTCCTGAGGCTTTTATTTCTTTTCTCTCACTGTAGAAGAGAGATCCCATGGTAACCGATTCCTCAGCACTCAGCAGGTGTATTGCCATCATGGGAAACCTCAGTGCTGACGCTGCTTCCCGAAGACACATGGCAGCCTGTGAAGAATTTGGGGACGCCTGTTTGAGCCTGCTGGTATTGTTAGATTTTCTACTCAATTTTTGCCTTTTAGCCTCTTTTTGGGACATTAACTCTTTAATTATCTGGCTTTTCTAAAAGTTCTGTTTCTTACAGTGCAGAAGCCAGGTGGTTATCTGTTCTGTAATCATAGATGTTTATGGGCTTCGGGCCTTAAAGAACCTTCCAGACCAAGTCTTTCCCCACCCTGGAGGGATTGTGAAGTTTTGGGGGGGAGCTACCTTGATCATCCATTTCAGCAGCTCACTTGGGCTAGGAAGAGGCAGAGAACCCTCACAAAGATCCCAGAGACTCTGTTCATGTCTTCTAGATGAACACTGACTCATGGAACTGATCTGTGTACTTCCCAATCACTTAAATCCATGACACTGAAAAATTAGGGAATCTGGGTATCTCTGTGGCCTTATTCAAGGGAGGGGATGGCCATGAAATTCACAAGGCAGCAAAGTAATTGATTATTTGGTTTTCTGTCCAAGGCCAAGTGTGAAGATGACAGGGACCTCTACAGAGAGATCACATACACGCTCCTGGGACTCGTGATGAACCTGTGTCTTCAGGTCCCCTTCAGCTCAGAGGTACGGGCGCTCTTACCTCTCTTCCTGCTGCCCTGAAACAACTTGAACACATCCAGCTGCATATAATTGCACCCAGAATGTAGTCTTGGGCACCAGCAGTGGGGATGGGGAGACCTGGAGGGACATTGTGTCACTTCTGTCTGCTAAGGACAAGATGAATCAATCACATATTACTTCAGAAAGCTGCCTGCATGTCCAGGGTGTGCTCAACAGAACACCAGGGGCAATGTTTATGGAGTCAAATTAAATATGGCCTCTGTTATGGAAGTATTGACACAGTTAGAGGAGATAGAGATGGAACACAACAGGAATGATAAAAGAAGGTTTGTGGAAAAAATCTGGACAGACTGTGGGAGTGAGTAGTTCTGTTTGTTTGCTCAGAAGAAGCTTCACAGAGGGTTTCAATCATGGACATTAAACTTTCCTTCTCCCTTTTCCTGGTGGTTGTAGGTGTGGGCTATGGAGCTGAGCAGAAGGTGCCTGTCTTTACTGAACAGCCAGGATGGGGGCATCCTAACAGTAAGTTTTTCAGGGATGTCTGGAGTCAGCATCCTCGTTTCTATTCTTCTTTCATTTTCCTGTAGGGGGGTCTTAACCTTTTGGCAGTTGCTACCTTTGATAATCTGCGGATTCTTGGTGGTATGGTGGGGATATAGTCCTCAGAATAATGCTCACAAGCACAAAAACACTGATTTGCTTACAATTTGGGGATTGGGTGACCTTTCCCTAGTGCTCATCTGTGGACCCTGTAGAGTTCAAGAACCTAAGTTTGAAATCTCTTTTTTGGGCTGACTGAAATCTGACCAGCGGGTGCAGTGTAATCCACTTGATTTGTCTCATTCCAAGAGATCCTGTGCAGATTGGACAAAAGATTGTACCTAGTATTCCTTTTTTCCATTGTCAAAAAACTAGGGTCATGATTTGAAGCCAGTTATCCTGAAGATGATTTATGCATACAAGTCTTGGCCCCTTTGGAGACACATGCAGGAATGACTTTCTTCATTCTGCTTATGAGATTGAAGCAAACTTAGAAAAATAAGTGAACAAATTCACAGAGAGAACAGAAGAAAACTTTAGTTGGGTAAGAAAATTTAAGCCTATGGTTAGCAAGTGCTTCAGTACTTGAATAATATGATTCAAGAGGCTGTTTGCCTTCATCCCTGGATGTGTCTTCTTCACTCTCATTGCTGATCACCCTGTTTTTCTGCCTTTTACGGCAGAGCCTAAAACCTATAAAAACAATCAAGGTCACATCAAATCCAATTTTGCTTAAGGCCAGCACTACCAAACATCATTATAGTGCAAAGATTTTAACCCAAGCTTCATGAAGTGTGATAGGTCTTCAGGTTCCCTGCAACCTTATGTAATTGTGTCAGAAATTCTAAGTGTATATGCATTTTTAAGATCGGCATCATTGCTTTGATCACTTCTTTAGAAGATGCTTGTGCCCTTCACCATAGCAAGCACCAATATTCTAGGGCTATTCTAGGTCAGCAGCACGTCGGGGAAGCTTTTGGGCCAGATGGCCACATGTGTTCCTGTTAGGTGCTGCCCACCTTGCTGAGAAGAGCAGTACATTTAGCACGAGAATGTGGTCTTTGGGTTGGACAGTGTCCACTGTCTTGGGTCTGAAAGTGTCAGCTATAGCAGAATTGTAAGATATGTATGAAGCTGGCTAGGGCAATGAGAGCGACAATATAGTAATGAGCAGGTTCATCCCTGTCCTTCTGGAGACCTGAGTAAAATGAAATTAAAGGCATTGGGAATAGAAAAATTCACACTGACCACGTGTACAGACAAGAGGTTCCCAATGGATCAGTAATCATAATGCATTTCTAGAAGGTGGAGGAAAATTGCAAGAGTGGAAATGAGACAGGGCTGAAAAGCCCTTCGTGCAGAGCACGGAGGGGACTTGGCTAGGAGGTGACACAAATTGCTTTGTAGTACCCTGGAGAGGATTGATACTTCACAAGCGTAGGAGCCACAGAGAACACAGGGATGAGGTGGGTGGGCTGGATTTGACAAGCTGCCTCCAAGCATAAAGTCAGAGCATTTTTTCTCTTCTCCTTTTGTTTATTTAGGACCATGACAAAAAGTATAGGATTCATTGCATAAACAAATTGAAAGATCAGAGGGAAAAAAATCTCTGTCTGGTATTTGTAGAGGTACCACCTCTCAAACTGCCACTTCACACGAACTTCTCATCAGTACAGCCTACCAAACACATCTTTCTTGCTTTTTTTCTTAAACGATTAAACAGCTAAGGGTCACAAGACATTTCAGGGAAGTCACCACACAGTAGAAAAACCTAGATAAAAAGAGAACAAAAATGGCAGTATAGAAAAGCTGGCAACAAATCAGAGCTCCTCTGGGGTCTGGAATTGAGACAAGTAGAAAGCAATTACTTAGAAGGATAAAGAGGAAAAGAGTTTTTGGATTTCAAGAAAGGACCAACAGGAATGCTAAAAATTTGTGGAGAAACAAAATAACACAAAAGAACAAAGCACAAGGTAAATTCAGAGAAGCCCAGCCTCTGTGATAAACAGTGCACCAGCAGTGCCAGCCCCAGGGAAAAAATATGATTGTGTAAGCAAAAAGTGCAGTGTAGGATTTATCCTGAGACCGACTCCCTCCACGTAGTGGGCTAGCTTTGGAAAAGAAATCCACTGCAGTGCTCGCCGTATTTGGGAGTAATAAATAAAGAGATGCTTTGAGAAAGAGTTGGTGGTTTATCACTAAGATACTCTAGGAAATCAGAAGTTACAGAACAACTGTACTTCAGGGTCTCTGTGGTCCCCCTACCATAGTGACTAGGTGGCGGATGGACTTAGGAGACAGTTCAGAGAGGCAGAGGGCTAGTAACAAGACTCCCTGAGAACTTCAAGCTTCTGTGAGCTCAGGCTGTGGAAGATACAGTGGTCTGAGGGGCTCTGTGTCGGAAAGTGCTGGGATCGTGTCCAGTGTGCTGCTTGGCTCTCCTCGGTGCTCCTCCCAGTACAGAGCTCAGTACGTATTTGCTTTCCTCACCTACCAGTGTGATCAGTGATGGGGCTCTGCTTGGACATTGGCCATATCCCTGGGTGTCTGGACAGAGGCCTTTGCAGCCCACAGTCTGCAAAGCTAGTTAGGGGTAGAGACTCGTGGTACACAGAAGGGCACCAACGAGTAAAAGACAAAAGAAAACAAGACAAAAACCCCTTAAAACCTCTGGAGTCAATGCAGTGCTGAGGCAGACAGTGTGCCATCGACTGGTCCTGCCAAGTGGCAAACGGGAAAGCTAACGCGGGACTCAGCATAAATACAGCAAAAAGTGAGTGTGGAGACAACAGGATCTGCTGTGATTTGCTACCTTTCCCCATACATGATGGATTTCAGTACTACAGTCCCGGAAAGAAACTACCAGCCCAGACACCTCTGCCTGAAGGAGTTTTTTAAAACTCATTTTTCTTTTTCTTCTTTTGCTTTTTTTCTTCCTGTTTTCCTTCTTTTTCTTTTTTCTCTTTTACCAAATTCTTTTTATTTTTTAAATTTTAATTTCATTTCCCCCTTCTCATCATCCTTTTCTTTCTTTTTAAAATTTTGTTTCTTCTTCCATTTTCTCTTTCTCCACCCCCGGTAGTTCAGTTAAACTTAGTGGTTTTTATTGCACATCCGTGTCTGGTTTGTCTTTGTATCATCCACATTACTGCAGTTTGTTGTCTCATTTCCGAGTGGTGCTGGGGACTGAGCCCTGGAATGATGACTGTGTGCTGAGAAGCTTTAAGTAAAAGTGGACGAGGTATCCATCCCAACAGATGCAAAAATCTCAATATAGAAACGTAAGAAATACAAAAAAACAAGGCAACACGAGTCCTCCAAATTTCCACAACTTGTCAGTAACTGAATGCAAAAGTATTGAAATACATGAAATAGCACAGAATTCAAAGACCGGTTTATAAAGTGAGTCATGACTTCAGGGTACACAAATAAATAAATAGATAAATTTAGGAGGGCAATGCATGATATGAAGGAGCAGTTCCAGTTCCAGAGAGAGAGAGAGAGAGATTCTCAAGAGGAACCAATCAGAAATTCTGGAAGTGTAAAGCACACTATATCAAATCAAAAATTCAGTGGACTTGAAGGAGGAGAAAGAGGAAAGTAATCTCTTTTACCAAAATAAGGATGTGTGAATTTAAAAAAAAAAAAAAATCAGAGTTAAGCCTCACCAATATATGTGGCCATGCAGAAGACAGAGTCACAGGAGTTGAAGATAAAGTTGAGAAATTAGTGTACACAGACTCCAAAAAAATAATAAATTAATGACAAAACATTCAGAAGCAGTAAGACACAGTTAAAAGACCAAACTTCAGATTTTTCAGTGTAGAAGAGAGTTTTGAGGTACAAAATAATGCTATAGAAATCTATTTAATGTAATAGTAAAAAATTGCCCAAGTTTTTGAAAAGATAGATAACAGGTAGTGGGGCCACTTAGAACCCCAAATGGGCATGACAAGAAAGGAACCTCCCCAAGTAACGCTGTAGCTTAAATGTGAAGAGTACAAAATAAGACTATTGAAAGTTGTAAGAGAAAAATACCAAGTCACTGAAAGAGGTAAACACATCAGAATAACTTCACATTTCTAATGGCCAGAAGGGCATGGAAAAGTGTAGTTGTAACCTTGAGAAAAAGTAACCATCCAGCTAACTTACCAAGTTCAGCAAAGTTATCCTTCACAACTGAAAGAACAATAAAGACCTTCCAAGATCAGCATGCACTAAAGAAGTTCACGACTAAGCCGGTATTGCAGAAGATACTTCAAGGAATCCTGCACACAGAAGAGGAAGGATAGTTCAGCTATTTAAAATTAGGAAAGAATACAACATTAGAAAAACAACAAACGTGACAGGAACAAGTGCATGCCTTCCTATAATAACCCTGAATGTAAATGGTTTTCATTCTCCAATCAAAAAGCACAGACTTGCAGATTGGATTAGACTCGAGATCCAGCCAGGTGTGGTGACTCATGTTTATAAGCCCAGCACTTTGGGAGGCTGCAACAGAAGGACTGCAAGTTTGAGCCAAGCCTAGGCTACTAAATAAGTTAGTGAGACCTTGTCTCAAAAACAACAACAAAAAAGTCCATCTGGTGTAGGGCCTGTGGACGTAGCTCATTGAGAAGCCCAAGGATTCATTGCGCAGAACTGCAAACAAAACAAAACAAAGACCCAACTTTTTCCCACTTGGATGGAAGAAAACAACCTGTTAAACCCAAAAACGAAAGGGGAGGAGGAACAGAATCCCAAGCAAATGAAACCAAAAGCAAACAGCAGTGTTATCTGGATAACTATTATAGTTATCATATTTGGCAACACAGACTTCAAGACAAAGTCAGATAAGGAAAAGAAGTCCAGGATGTATTGGTAAAGGGCACAATCCACCAAGAATACATAAAAATTGTTAATATTTACATATCAAACATTGATATGCCAATTCATAGAATAAACACTACTCAACATAAGGAGAAACATAGGTTCCAATCCAATAACAGTGGTGACATAAGTACCTCTCACCAATAGTTAGGTCATTCAGATCAGCAAAGAAGCATCAGAGTTTCTAAACTACATTATAGCTATCTAAACTTCATTATAGATAAAATGGACTTAGCAGATATCCACAAAGCACATTCTCAGTATCTCACAGAACATTTGCCAAATAGATAATATTTTAAGCCTTTATAAACCAAGCCTTAACAAGTACAGAATTATTGAAATCATTTCTTGCAGTTTGCCAGGTCAGAATGGTATGAAATTAGAACTCAACAGCAAGAGAAAACAGAAAATATAGAAACATATGGAAACTGAACAGTTACCTTTTAAATGATCAGTGGGTCAATGAAGAAATCAGAGAGAAAATTTAAAAATGTCTAGGTTCAAATGAAAATGGAAGTACGACATATCAGAATCTTTGGAATTCTGGAAAAGCAGTTCTAAAAGGAAAGTTTATAGGTATGAATGCCTATATCAAAACAACATAAAGACCTCAAATAACCTAACTATATATCTCCAAGCCTTAGAAAAACAAGAACAAATCCCAGGCAAGGAAGGAAAAATCCCACCAGAAGGAAAGAAATAAGATCAAAATTGAAACGAATAATATAGGGACTAAAAGAGCAATACATAGGATCAAAAGAGAAACAGGACCAATTAACCCTTAGACAAATTAATCAAAAGAGAGATGACTCAAATCAGTACAATCAGAAATGAATAAGGACATGTCACAACAGATGCCACTAAAATCCAAAGGATTATTAGGGACTACTTTCAAAACCTATATTCTAATAAATTGGATAATCTAGACAAAATGTATTAATTTTTAAACACATATAGCCTATCAAAAATAAACCAAGAAAATATAGAAAACCTAAACAGAATAACAAGCAATGAGATTAAAACAATAATAAAAAGTCTCCCAGCAAAGAAAAACCTAGGACCAGACGGGTTCATGGCTGAGTTTTGCCACACATTTACAGAAAAATTAATACTAGCTCCTCAAACTATTACACGAAATGGAAAGAGAGAGAATATTCCCAGCCTCATTCTATGAGGCCAAAATCACCTTGATGCCAGAACTAGACAAGGACACAGCAAAAAAAGAAAATTAGGGACCAATATCCTTGATAAACATGGATGTAAACATCCTTACTAAAACCAAACCAAATCCACCACACATTGAAAAGATCATACAGCTTGATCAAGCTGATTTCATTCTAGGAATCCAAGGGTGTTTCAACATAGGCAAGTAAGTATCATACACCACATAAGGGATATAGATTGAATCCAGGATAAATATGCAAGATAAAAATCACACAGTCTTCTCAGTTAATGTGAACAAGACCTCCACACCCTCCAGCACCCCCTTACAATAAAAGGCCTGAACAAGCTAGGATAAACCAGCAGCAAAAATCAACAAGTAAAACTACGTCAAGTTAAAAAGTTTCTGCACAACAAGGGAAAAATAGAGAAAAGAGACAGTCTATAGGATGGGAAAAACATCTTTAGTAGCTACTTCTCTGGCAGGATTAATATCTAAAATACATCAAGAACACCACAGAATCAAATAGCCCACTCAGTAAGTGAGCAAATGAATTGAATGGACACTTCTCAAAAGAAGTACAGATGGCCAATAAGCATTTGAAAACCTGTTCAACATCTTTACCCGCTGAGGGGATGCAAATCAAAACTACGTGGAGATTCTGTCTCCAGTCAGCACGACCATCATCAAGAATACAAAACAGTAAATACTGGCAAGGATGGAAGGCAAAAGGAGCCTTCTACATTGCTGGTGGAAATCAGTATGGAAGTTCTTCAAAAATTTTAAACAGTTACGATTTGATGCAGTGATATTATTCCCTGGTATAGACCCAGTATAATTAGGGTGTACCAAAGGGATGTCTCCACGCTCATGCTTATCTTGGCACAATTCCCAACCCACCTGCAGAGCCAGCCCAGGTGTCTATGACTAGATGAATATATAACAGTGGAGCATTATTCAGCCATAAGGAAGAAAATGTGCTGTCATTAGCGGGGAAAGGGATATGCTTCTGGAAACCATCATGTTAAGTGAAATAAGCCAGACGTAGAAAGATGAATATCATATAGTGTCCCTAATATGCAGACTAAAGAGCATGGCGATAACACAGAAGGCAGAGTGTTACTACACAAAGGAAGGAAAGAAGAGCTGGGCGGAGAAAGTGTCAGGGCCGGTGATGAGAGGGATGTGAAGAGCCATGTATGTGTACCGGAACCCCCAAAAGCTGTGAGACAGTGGGGGGCCGGTGCAGCAAGAGGGTAGTGAAAGGCATGAAAATGATCAAAGTATGTTGCGTGCAGGCACGAATCTGCCACAGTGAAACCTGTTCATCTCTGTAACCACTGAAAACAGGAGTGACAACACATAAACAGAAAAACTGACCCAAAAGAAGTAGACATAGGAAGGAAAAGTGGAAAGGAAAAAATGTCATTGCCTCCTGGGAAAGATTCAAGTCAGTTAAAGCAGTGAATGCTTGCTGTTATTAAAAAAAAATAATAAGGGCGAACTAGGAAATAAAGTAAATGAAACCTGCCAGAAAGCAGAACAAAAGGAGAGAGATTTATAAAGCTAAATGGAAGTTAAAAGACTGAGAATCGATTGAGGAGGCAGAACATCCCCTAACGAAGGGCCTGCTGACAGCAGAACTCTGGGGGGTATCGGCGAGGATCTTCTTGTCTGGGGTGGGCTAGCTGGTCTCATGGAAAGCTGAAATAAACTGGACCCCCTGAGGGGTGGGGGCGAGCAATGTTTTCCGCCCTTGTAATTGCCCGCCAAGCAGGTTTATTAAAAAGAACCGCGCTTACTGTGTGTCACTTGGCCATTGCTGCTTTGAGGATCAAGACAGCTTTCACCTGCGATACTAATGATCGCTCTGCCTCACCAAATGCCTTGTTAAATTGAAAGGTCACCAGCATTTCTGGCAATTTTAGAAATTTCAGATGGCGCTGAAGCATCCTCTGTCTGTTTCACTCAGAGAGCTGCTGGTGTTCTGAGCCGGACCCTTTCCTGCTCTCAGAAAACCATCAAGGAGGCCGTGAGAGCGGGAGTGGTGAGGAAGATGATTAAATTCCTGAAGGTAAAACACCTTCGCTGCTTACCGCCTCTTGAATTTCCAGGCGTCTTCTCTTTTGTTCAGGTAACAGAATTGAGGTCTCTTTGGTTCAGTCCACGTGCCACTATGTCGCCCCCGCCAGATTTTACACTTGCAGGATGGAGGTTCCTTTCTACCTGTTCACCCAGGCCGTGTGCTGAACATCAGCATGAGACTGTTGAATGCATAAGCAGACTGCTGTTTAGATCTGTAGAAACTGCTTACCTTTCACGCTTCACTGTAAGGCGTCCAGCCTCCAACCTTAAACAAAATGGTTTGAATAGCTCTCAGCAAAGTTTCTTGGGCCAATTATTTTGTTCATGGACTCACAGTGCTGAGTAGTTATGCAGAGTTGGGCTCTAACTCCATTCATGAGCTAAGGAGGCGGCAGGGCCGCAGTGTGATGGAAGGAAGTTGGACTTTTCCCCCCGTGGAAGCTGAGACGGTGACCAGCTTCTCCCGGAAGGGCAGAGTGAGTTACTAGGCTGCTGATCTCTGCATCACACGGAGAAGTATGTGCCCAGTGAGGCCAGCTTATCTGTGTCATGATAGTGACACAAAATCTCGGGCTGAACAGGGGACAGAGTGTGCTCTCAAGAGGCGGAGGGTGCTGCTGAGGCAGGAGTGTTGAGGGGCCAGGGGGGTAGGTCTGAATTTCGGTTGTCACTTGCGTAGTGACAGTCTTTCCCTCCACACAACTTTTGTAACCCTGCCAGAGGCTGCTGATTGCAGGTAGACACAAATCATTGTGTGTGTATGCTCACAAACACAACCTTCATTTTAAAGACCTCCATGGGTATTTTTAAGGGTGGCTTGACAGCTGTCACCTCTTACAGTGATGCAGGTTCCTGAAATTCTCACACAGCACTATCTGCCTAACAGCCTTAGCCTATCAGCCCTTTCTCAAAAAGTGAAGTGACATAGGAGTCCTGTTTCCTCCCCTTTTGGTAGATCTGCCACTGACAGCATCCATCTCCTCTCAGCCACTCACCCAGAGCCTTCCCGGGTGTCAGTTAAACACAACAGGCCTGCGTTCCTAGCTGGGGTACGCTGTGTTGATGGGGTTAGGAACATTGCCTCCCTGAAGGGGCCAGTCCTGCTTATCAGGCAGCCATTGAAATTGTCTTTCAGAAATTCCTAAAGCCACTGGTTCTGTTTTGACCTCTCATTGTGGCTTCTGGTCAAGAAATGTCAGTGCATTGATGGTACTTTTCTGATTGCATTCTGCATTCTAGACAGGAGGCCAGACTGCATCACATTATGCCATAAAGATCCTAGCTATCTGCACAAATACCTGCTGTGACGCTCGGGAAGAAATAGTAAGACTGGATAAAAGTAAGTGACAATTTCAGGACAGGCACCTGCATTCCAGAGGGCAGTCTTCCTGGAAACGGGAGAGGGAAGCTGGCTGTGGAGTGAGGAGGGGCTTAGCGTGAGGGCTTTTTGCCTCCCTGAGACCTGAGACCTCCGCACTGTTTACAGAGTGAGGTGCAGCACTCCTCTGGATGGGGGGTGTTTCATTGGCCTTTTGGCTGTGCACAGGTACAGTGCCTGCTCGGGAGGCCCAGCCGACAGACAGCTCAAAGATAACGGGGCCAGGCTGGGGAATATTTCTATACCAATGTACTTAACCTGACTTAGCCTCAACTCTGCATTCAAAGAGGGAAGGTGGGGGGGGGGACTACCTCGACCTTTAGTGAACAAAGGGAATACAGGAATCCGAGCCTAACTATTAACTTACATCAGCTACAGTTACTTAGAGCAGGGCTTCTCAGTGAGGCAGCCCTAACACTTCCCCGGATGGTGAGTGAGAGGGGTCCTGCCACGGGACAGAAACCTTTCTTCTGGGCAAATACAGGATGCTGGCTAACTGCCTCAACTCAGGGGCCAGGTCGGATCTCTCACTGTGGTGGGGCATCGGGCCTTTTAGACACAGACCGGTTGGGCACATCGGGCTTATTCATGCAGCAGCTGTGTTGTGCTAGCCGCTATTCTGGGCACCTGAGTAATGCAGAAACAGGGCAGAGCTGACGAGCATCGCAGCCCTCAGGAGTACTTGTTGAATGCATCAGTGCACCCTTCCCAGAGTCTCTGGGGAAGCTTGGCATTTTCCAGTAGGTCCCACCCCCCTCGTGCCCTTTGCTGGTCTCCTATTAGGGGATTGAGAGAAACTGGTGCTTGTGCTCCTTTCCTTGTAGAGTTCAGTGTTCTGCTGAACCTGCTCAGCTCAGAGGATGAGATCCTGATGGGTAATGCTGCCCTCTGCCTCGGCAACTGCATGGAGGTGCCCAGTATTGCGTCCTCCATGCTGAAGACGGACCTTGTGCAAGTCCTGTTAAAGCTAGCGGGTGGCGACTCACAGAGGACAGCCGTGCAGCTGAACGCGGGCATCGCTCTGGGGAAGCTGTGCACAGCCGAGCCCAGGTACACTGTGGCCACCTGTGCGACAGGAGGGGGCCAGGGTCTCACACCGCCTTCACGCACATGCCCACAGGAGCACAGATTCCCACAGGCCCCACCTCCCAAGAGTGCTGTGGGCTGCGGACTAAGCATGTGGACCTTTGAAATCCAGCTACTTAATCTTTTCTCCTTTTTTTACTTTTTCCGGAAATAGACCAAGCTTGTTTTATTTCCCTTTGTGTGTGTGTATGCCTACCTGTGTCTAAACAAATGCAAGCATGTCCAGAGAGGGTAACATTTGCCAGAGAGAGTAACTGAAAACAGAATGGAGACGCAGAACAGCGTGTCTGGGCCACCCAGCAACGCGGGGCAAGAGATCTTAGCTTGAACTCTGTGCACTGCCTCTCTTTTCGGTCGCATTCCTGCTTTGCCCTGGTCCTATTCTAACACTGCACTGAGCGTGCTTCTGGAAGACGCCTGTGCTAAGCCACGAAGCCTGGCACAGACAGGGGTGCCTTTGGGGATGGGGAGAGAATGGCTTCTTCCTCACAGCTATCTATGTACCTCTGATTCCTTCTCTGTAGAACTGGGCTGGCTTGGATGGCACCTGAGATCCTTTCAAACTCTGTCTAATGATCAAATGGAAGGAACAGATAAAAATCTTTCTTCCCCAGAAAGCAAGGCACTGTAGCGAACATGAGCTCAAAGTGGCAACCTGCTGGGGAGTTCCCCGAGGGCACAGTCCCCTCTGATCATCCTGTCACACCTGCCACTTGCAGAAAGAGTGTTTCCAGTGTTTTGTGGTCTCCCCGAGAGACTTACTTACCCCTTGATCTTTAGCATCCCCAGTACCACAGCCGCTTTCCCTGTCCACTCAGCGTGATGAGGCTGATGTTCTCAGCCGGCTTCTGTCCAGCGGGAGCTAGATGACTCTGCAGCATGGCCTTTATGACCTGGATTTTGTGGTCCAATTACAGGTTCACTGCTCAACTGAGAGAGCTTCATGGGTTGGAAATTCTCAACTCTACGATGAAATACCTCAACGATTCTTAAGAGATGTGTGTCTGTGCAGCTTTGCAAACATACAACTGTATATTGTAGATTGTTCATGTGCTAATAAAGTCCTTTAAAATATCCACTTCAGAGCTGAGTGTGTATTTTCAGTGGAATTTCATTGGTAAGAAGAGAACAGGCATCTAGTGGCCACTGTGGTGGTAACTGGCTTAAGACCCATCATACCTGCCTCCAAATATTCTGCAAAAGCTGGAAACCAGCCAGCAAAAAGCAGGAAGCCATGCTCTCTCATCCACGGTTCTGAATCAGAACTTGATTTTACCAGTCCATGACCACTTCTTGTGCTGCTGGCCCTTTTCTACTGGCAACATGCCAGAAGCATCAAGTTGGCAGTGGTGATTGGCATCTGCTGGCCAGCTCTGAGTGCCTCAAGCTAATAGCAGTGGCCTCAGTGGTGGCGGCAGCTTCCTGAAGCCCCATTGGAGCGGTGGCCAGTGCTCCTGGACTCAGAGGGCAAGTGCACCAGTGGTGCCCTGTTAGAGGAACTCTGTGCTGTCTGGCTGTCTACATGGAAGCATTCCTGGGCCTTCCACCTGGCACTCTTCTCCGGTCCCCTGTGGTGATGTTGCAGGTACCTCATTTTGTGTGTTAGATTGTTCTCTGCTTAAAGTGCCAGAACAAGGGCTTCTATTGGTGCACTGAACCTGGCTGATACAAACGTGTGTTTCCCTAACCTACCTCCCATTCTTACCCCATTCCCAAAGGCATTTCTTCCTACTCATCACCTTACATCCTGATTAAATCAGGGTCATCTGTGGATTATAAGACCCTGAAAAGTCCAGTGAGTGACACTGTTCCTTGCTTTTCAGTATGATCCTTTGATCACTTTAAACTGGTAGGAGACAGGAGCTGTATAATGAATGCAGAATTCCAAATGGCATACCCTGCCACCTGCCCACACAATATAACTGGGAAAAACCCTCAACCCCTCTGCGCTTTGGCCACTGTATCTAGAAAAACAAGAGTAATTCCTGTCCACTCTGCCTTGGATTTGGAGGTACTATATCTTAGGTCTAGAATGTTCCCCAAAGGCCCATGTGTAAAAAATTCAACTCCATTTAGTGTTATTGGGGGGGGGGGGCATTAAGCAGTGAGCCCTATAAGAAAGTCTTCAGATCACAGGCACTAAAAGGATGTGACCTCTCTCTCTCTCTCTCTCTCTCTCTCTCTCTCTCTCTCTCTCTCTCTCTCTCTCTCTCTGTCTTTCTCTCTCCCTCACTGGCCCTGAGGTGGATCGTTTACTCCACAGTGTGCTCCCACACTGCTGAGCTGCCTCCTAGCAGAGGCCTGAAAGCCAAGAGTTTGTCAGATCATGGACTGAGCCTGTGAAACTGTGAGCTAAAATAAACATTTTGACTTTGCTTGATTGTGTTGAAGACTTGTTATAGTAATGGAAAGGTGACCACATGGAAGCCACATGTTTGATGGGAATTACCGTGCAACATAAATAGGACCAGGATCCATCTTGACCTCGGGGTGTGGAACAGGAGTGGACTGCAACATCTGATGGGTTAGATTTGAGGGATATGTGAGTGGCTATGCTCATGTCGTTTTTAAGGAATCAAAGCTTGACATTTTCTGAAACATGTAGAAGAAAGCCTTCCTCCTCCAAGGAGTTTTTATCCAGCACATACAAAGAAAAGATTCTTCACCAGCAAGACAACTGTTGTCTTAATTAAGAACTTTGGCACCTGAAATCATAATGAATAGCTAGCATTCTGGGGAAGAAAACCATTAGCCCCAAGCCCCTCACTGGGTTGTGTGCATTGTGAGGGACAGTCATGAGCTTTCTGGGGTACTCTGTGGTGGCACCATAACACTGCCCCTGGGAGACAGGCCAGGAGAGGCCTGAAAGAGAAGCCAGGTCCTGCCCACTCATCCTGTCATGCAAACAGACACCCCTTAGAAGCTGCACAGTGATGAAGACAGAATGACCTGACAGCACAGAGAAGAACATTATAGGGTACAAATCTGTTTTGAGAGCCCAGGAGAGCTTTGAAAAGGCAACAGCCGCCCGGTGCATCACCAACAGCCTTGTCTCAGATTTGAAGTTCAGATGCCCTGTCGTGTTCTTTGGCTGCAATCCTCTTCCCCGGTTCTTGAAAACAGCTATTGTAGGTGTAACCTCACCCCTGAAAGTGGAGAACAACGTCATTTTATTATTATTCATGCTTCAGATGCCTGCACTTTGGAGGAGGCTCTGTTGCACCAGAAGCACAAGAGAAGTGAGCAGTCTTAGATAGTGGGCTCTCCATTCCAATACAAGCTCCCCACACCTGCATCCCGTACCGGCCCACACATACAATAGCACAAGGCTCCCAGGCAGTGAACAAAAACCAAAGTGAGGTTCATATTCCAGGAGCCAGTGGCGCCCGCCATACCACCCTGAGGCCACAGCTCGTCAGGGAAAAACAATAGGCCAGGGAGCTAGAAGTCCTAGAGGAGCTGATCAAGATGGAGCTCAGTCAGCACCCGAAGCTACAGCAGAGGTGTTTAGTAAGGGACTATAAATACTTTGTGAGCCTGGGAAGAAATCCCTAGAGATGATGAGACAACAGCAGTTCCAGGGGACAGCAAGTGACACAGAGGCTAAGTGATGAGGATGGAGCAGCAGAGGGTGTGAAGTAGGACTACAGCCCAGAGGCTGAGATCCTGGAGGTACTCTGAAGCCAAACACTCACAGTTCTACCTGGCTTTCTAAAACAACAGTTCACATTTTCTAAATACTTGAAAATATGGGCACTGCTTGGGGTCCAGTAAGAGGAGGGAGTAACTGGAGATGAAGAAGCTTCATCTGGCATTGACTCCCTCGCCCAGTGTGGGAGGGTCCCTGCCCTCACAGGCTGGCATCCTGCAAACCTGGAGAGGAAAGAAAACAGGCCCTGCCCACGCATTGCGTGTCAGGCTGAGGGTGGGTAGGTGACCGAATCTATCTTGCACGCTCTCCAGGTGGCTTCCACCTGCTCTGGGGCAGTGTCGACCCAGGGACACCTAGGGACTATTTGGCAAATATGAATAAAAAGGGATGCTTTGTTTATCTCCTTTATCTGCATAATTAGAGAGATCAATTCATAGCTCAGTGAAAGGTTCTGAGCTCACTTCTCAGGTCCAGAAGGTTTTATACCTGTGCCTTGCTTTTACATCACAGACATGGGCAACGCAAGGCCAAAGCCCCTTACTCTGCTGGAATGCATTCTTCAGCACTGGAAGATGTGTGACCCTTCCATGTTGAAAAAGAGCCGATTGGTATTTCTCTGCAGGAGTGCACGGCCTACCTACCCCCTAGAGCCGAAGTGGAACACAGAGAAAAGTATTAATTATGATGATCTTTAAAACTAAAATTGTATTGTAAGAAAAAAGAAAAACGGTTAGAACTGCAGTATGTTAAAATTTTCTTTACATTACAAGATAATTCTTATCTATGCTCCAGGTATAATTATAATCCTTATGAGACCACTCCCATTCATAGGTCTCTTGCTCTCAGTGACTTAAAGCAAATTAAGCTAGAACCAGAAAAATTTTCAGATGACCCTGATAAGTACATTGATGTCCTTAGGGGATTTACTCAGACCTACGAGCTAGGCTGGAAAGATATAATGTTACTCTTAAACATGGACTTCTAGTGAGAGAGAGGCAGCATTTCAAGCTGCTATTGCCTTTGGAGACAATTATCATATTGTTACTTTTAGAAGACCAGAAGACAGACAGCCAGGGGAACCCCCAGTTCCCACTGGGGCACAAGCAGCTCCTACCCAAGACCCAACTGGCCTGCCAATAGAGGAGATGGAACAGGAGACATTTTCAAGTGTGTACTCTCGAAGATCTAAGGACAAAAACCAAGCCTTTTAGTCATTTTAAATTGTTAGCTATTTCTCAGGAAAAACGTGAAACCCCCTCTGACTTCTTAGATTGTTTATCTAAGGCAATAATAAAATGTATGTCTATAGATCCTGATTCGATAGAGGGACAGATTTTGCTTAAAGACATGTTTATTACTCAGTGAACTCCAGATATTAGAAAAAAGCTACGAAAGGTAGCCTTCCCTCCAGATAGCTCACTTGATACTTTAGTAAAAGTTGCCTCCTCCGTATTTTATAACCATAATGAAGAGAAAGTCAAGAAAACAAAGAGACTGAGAACAAGCAGCTGCCTTAGTTGCAGCACTAAGAAAAACAGACCCTAAGTCTGATTCTTGGGCGCCAAGAGATCGAAGACAACCAGACCTGCTAATGGCTGCCAGGAACCAGGTCACCTTAAGAGGTCACCTTAAGAGGGACTTGGCCCACAGAAGCCTCACAGGGGCCCTGAGAAGCAGGTTAGGTATTCGCTCTATGATCAAGAAACTAAGAGAATCAGTTTCTTTACACAGGATGGCGTAGCTGTAAGTGAGGAAGTCAGACTTTGACACCAGGTAAAGTATTTTTAACGTTTTCTGTAACTTTTTCTGCATTTTCCAAATGGACTGCAGAAAGGTTATCTAATTTCTCTTAGCCTCAGTTTCTTCTCTAAGATGACCACAGCAACACTTGCCTCATAATCCGAAGACCGGCTGAGATGCGTGTGAGGTGCTTAGCCTAAGGGACTAACAAATACGAGGCATTTACTTAACGGTGACTGCTAGGTCATAAGTCACCACGGGCTCCTCATGGCCTCTTCGACCTCACAGGTCCCTCTACTGTCCTGACTGCCCCATCTCAGGGCAGGCGCTGACCCTGGCCGGACCCCATGTGAAGCGGAGGGTGCTAAGGCTAACGTCCCAAAGCCCCCCCCCAAATACTTCTCCCCCACCCCCTTTCCGTTTGTCACTGCTGTCCTAGCACACAGTCGTCGGGATATCACACCCTCCAAACATCTGAGCCAACCACCCCAGTCTCAGGCCCTCCCAGGTCTGGACTGGACCCTGTCGCAGCGAGCAGCAGCAAACTGACTCATGTGGCTGTGTGCCAGTGCACCTCAGCCTACGGTCACTCCACTGCACACGTCCAGCTCCAACCCCACGTTCGTGCTTTTCACAGCACACGTGCACACAAGCAAGCCCTTGCAGAGCTCATCTCTGCTGCCGAG